AACAAACCCAAAACACAATGAATAAACAGATCGCGCATATTCTCGCGACTCATGTACAGCTCCGAGTACCTGTTTGTCGAGCGTATGGGCAGAAATATATGCGGTACCCATAGCAGTAAACTCGCGACAAGCTTGATATCTGCCCAGAGCAGTTTGAATGGAGAATCGCGGAAGTTCAAGGGCGTGCTAGACGCGCCGCCGTCGATCTGTGAGGGAAGATAGGAGACTGGCATCGTGAAGAGCTCGCGGGGTTTGTAGAGGGGGAGGACGGGGGGGCGCGCCATCCTGGCCATCGTGATCGGCTTCTTATATGCACAGCTAATATAATACAGTTAGAGAAGATGACTGCTATAAATCGTGGTGGGGCTGGAATTCGTCATGTATTTCTGAGAAGCGGAGTCAGAATGGTGAGGAGGATGAGGCTTGGAGGAGTGTGTGGTAATATTGCACATGCAATTCTATTGTTGCCTGTCAGCTGGAGGAGAGCCTGTAAGGTGAAGAAGGCTGAACAAGTAGCACTGGATAGGTACTGATCTGTTTGAGCACAAAACGAGTCTGGGAGTTTGCCATATCAGATATTTTGGATTCGGCTACCACCTGACGTCCTGCAGCTCCTGACCCGTCATGACGATCCTCCTGGGTCCAGGGGTTAATTTGGCTGGGCAGGCGGGTACGTTTATTAGAGGACCTTGTTTCCATCCAATTATTCAACTACATGTATGTACTATTCTTTGAAGCGATCTAGGTAAATATTTGTCGCATAGTGAGGCTTGATATTGGTCATTTCCTGCCTGAAGGAGTTCCGCAGGCCGGCTGTGCCTGCAGTTGAGCGTTTACTTTCTGACTTGGCGTTGCATTATTTGGCCTTGATAAGGATAGAAGAAAAAAGCCCTGTAAAGGAAATACAAGGAAAGGGAAGATATGAAACCTCTCAATCTTGGGCGTTGAATTGATTAATCATGTAGAGTACATACATGTATGTATGTAGAATACATGTACTTTACCTACGGGAGTTGAAACTTGACATATCCGCCCTGCAGGGTTGCCGAGTTACCGCTCCCTGGCATAAGGCTTGTATTTAAGCTTCTTTCTCGTTCGTAGGTATCATCTTTACGTCATCATGCGTATTACCTAGACTACTCGTAGTTTTTTGGCGTTTCCGGACGCAACTGCTATTGCATACCATACAAAAGATAGCCTTGGCGAGTTTTTTCTGTGTATGCAATAGCAGTTGCGTCCGGAAACGCCAAAAAACTACGAGTAGTGTGTGGAGTCGTATTTCCATCCGATGTTCTCGAGATGTGCAGAGTGGCGTAGCTACGTATACATGTACCGTACCTACACACTATGTAAGAGCAGGCAGAACGCACCATATATTTTTCCAGCATTCGGAAGGAGGCCACACAAATTTAATAAATGATGATTTTGATAATTTTGATAGTCTCTCGTCTGAAAATCGCGCCAGAACGTTGGTACAAACTGTGTCTTGGCACAAATCCTAACCTATATATGTACTTATGCGCAACGCCCAACTCAACCTACATAACACACACACCCTCCCCACGATCACTAATCTAGCTGTTATATTATTATAAGCACATACATTAGCGAATAGAATTTATGCGTGTCTGGCCTCCGTTAACCAACTAGCCAGTTGGTAGTAATAGATGGGAGACAGCGAAGCTCTCACTTGTATGTAAATACATATTGTACCTCCTAGGTACATGCCTGTATTCCACCACCAGAAACGAGTTTCCAGCTCAGGGGTGGAGCGCCTCATCTGTGTTGCTTTGCTGGCGTTCAGAAAGAGAATAGAGCCTGTGGTAGGTATTGTCCAAAAGGGCGATATTTAGGTGGATGAAAGAGTCATTAAGTACAGGCACTATTTTAAACCCCCCGAATATCAGAACGAAGGTACATTCAATACTGTCTGATATAGTAGGTACATACTGTAGCAAGTAAAATCTCCGAATCAAACCATAATCCTAGCCTGCAATTACCGTAGCAATACCACAATCTCGCGGTCCTCTGCCAGAGCCGATTCGAAGATTATATGGGCATTCCGGGTGGTATTAATTCGTCTCCACGTTCTGTCGCACAAGACGTTGAAATTCCCCTATTTGGTTATTTATCGTGAATATATATATTCGTCCCTAATATAATATTGATCTCCACGCATACTTTCTGGAAAAGGCAACTTCGACGTCAGTCCCCGAGGAAGGTGACATTGTATTCTAGCATGGACTTTGGGTGTGTGTAGAGGTCGGTCTGTCTTGAGAGCTGTTACGTTAAAAACTTAAAGTTTCACCACGTGCGCACCTCCTCAACGATTACCCAGCTGTTAACTACATGCATTACCACACGTGCATTCCTTTCAGAAAGCACTCCATCTTGCATCTCTTAATGAATTTAAAAAAAACTCCGGAAGAGGCTGGGATTGAAGGAGTCATATCGTGGTTCACAGCTTGATCATGAACCTGGACCATGTGGAGAACTGGAAATGAAATCGCCTAGATCATGAGATGTCACTCACTATCCGGTTCGCCAGACATGCCAACCCGGAGCTCGCACAAGTCGTTCATTACTAGTGGAAATTATAAGTGAGTTGTAAACCTGCTCCGTCAGAGTCTCCGTGGACAAGCTAATTTAAAAGAAGTTCTAGTGATGTGCGGGCCAGCCCGCCTATATTTATCCTCATCACTCACTTGGACGCCCGCTCACCCGGACAGTTAACACAATAATATCTTATAACGGCTTACACCCCTCTCAACCAATCATCATAAATTATCCGACTAAGTCGTTTATATCTATTGCTATGTAGGCACTGGGCTAGAGCACCTATTCTGGATCCTCTGGGCGGCAACTGGGAAAGATACTCGAGACCCATTCATGACCGTGGGATAGAGAGAACTAGCGACGCCGATACATGGTCTCTGTGCAGCATAACTATAGTCAGCGTTGTCATGACGAAATACTTACTACAAATGGAAACCTATTATAACGGGGTCTGATCAGGATGTAATACAACCTGCCCATTACCTACTATTCGGCCGGTCATAATCAGTCCTACTTGTTATCCCTAATTCTCAGAATCCCTCTTCAACCTTATATCAGACTGTCCACGGCAGTCTTCCTTCGTCAATTTTGGATCTCTGCTTTTACGGGCCTTTCAAGGGCTCTCGGTGTTTACTCTTCGCGGACTGGGTTCTCCTCGATCTATTGAAAGCTTAGCCTTTGCTGCGCCGGGAGTTTCCGTACAAATAATTCAAAATAACCGACAGCTAACTACAGTACCGTACATATCTAGATATTCAAAAAATATGTGTAACCAAATCTAATGACTAAAATAGCTAGGACAAAGATTTGGACTCACAAAATGGAAGGAGTTGTGACTGATTTTGAAAATTCTAGCTATATAGCTACATGTATGTAATGTAGCGTGTAGGGCCAGGGACGCTACCGGCTATTTTAGTTTCCGCGATATCAGGCACTGCCACAGTCACCACGGCGGTCACTACTTCTTTAGCTTCCATTCCAGCTGGCCTTGTCCTCATTGGAAGTCTTTCTGGGCTCATGCATATCCAAAAGAGTTACTGGAATGGAAAGTTATTCTGTCATCCACTCATATGGAATGTATAATAGGTACACGGTAGTTTTGGGTAGGGATAGCCTCTGGAGGCACGGCCTGGGGGGTCTGCACTGTTGTCAAAAAGAACCCGAAGCCCAGTGCCGGGGTTACATATTGGGGAAACAGAAACTATGAAGTTGACTTGTTTCCCATGGCATTGGTCAGGCGATACCTGGAAACTGCATGATACGTGGACTCTTTAGCATGGAAAGTCTTCATGGATATCTGTGTCGGGGATAGGCTCGGACCACCACGTCGCTAAAAATACATAATCAAGTGAGTGATAGAAGGTGATCTTCGGCTAAAGTTTAGTGTGTGGCACGTGTGGCACAGCGACGTTAGAACTGTTCCATAAGTGAGGAAATTACTCTTCTTACGTATCGATCTTCAAGAACGATTGTGCCTTTACGACACCCCTTTTCTGCACTACAGTGTAGGTAGCTGGCACCATGGTGCGAGTGAGGGCGGAGAGGGATCAAATTCTGCTGGCGAACGCATCGAGAGAACTGCCCTATAGGCTACAGATTGGTAGATCCAGCGTAATACTACAGCTAGATCTACTCTACTACTAGGTTCTCTAATACACCTACTACATGTATCGAGTACAACTGCCTGATAGGTAATCGATAGCATCGAGTATCCTAGTTCAGGATACAACCAAATCAACACCTCCACCGCCACCAACATAAAAGCAGTATTACAAAGACAAATTTCCGACTTCTGGGCATAACTAAGCACTTGACTTTGAACATAATTTACCAAGTACCTTCGCGTCTAGGTATTTTGTGCCTTTTTGCCTAGAGATGATGTCCCTTTGCCGCCCAGTTTAGTGCCTGATCTCGCCGCCCCACTACATGATATATGTGCTAGCCCCTAAAATACAATAGGCAACTCCCCGGCCGTTGTTCCACAGCAGTCATCAACAGTCCATCGTTTGGCGCGTCAATAACGCAGGGGGTTTACAAAACCTAATTTTTTCATTGCATGAACATTGAAAAGCTTGGATGTCTTGACTTAACAAGGCCATTGACATGTAGATATTAGGATGTCCCTCGAGGCGTTCTTCATGGATTAAGCTCACCGGACACTTGTGAGCCGCAGCATAGAACCCCTTTGCGCCTATCAAAAGTAAATCTACTAATGGATCCCCAGCCCAAGGATCAAGGTGGGCTTTTTTACCCCTGGCATGCATACATGTATGCATGTCTTACTTACTTTTCTCGATGGAAACATATACAGTACATACCTACCGAAATAGTACATAAAGGTTGGGAGGAATGGAGAATAAAAAGCGCTCTCCACCCGGCCTTTTTATCTACACACATCTTCGCCATTGTCTTTTGTGCAAAGAGTTGTTCGTTCATACACCATAATGTTTTTCCCTAAATCTTCATTCGCAGCTTTGCTGCTTGCAATGCCTATATCCCAGGTTACTGCGACATTTGGCGGATTTCCTACTTCACCCATCACAACGGACCTCGTGTCAACTAAGCTCAGATACGCCCGTTCAATGGGAGGGTATCCTACTGAGGTTAAAACGGATCTTCACTCAATTCCGCATGCCAACACTCCTCGTTCGGAGCGTATTATGGGCAGAGATGCAGGCTCTGTGATTTCTGAGGGCGTAAGGTTATCAAATGACTTTTGGAATTATTTCTGGGACTCCGATAAACAACACTATGTATCCAAAAGACAGACCTCGGAGACGGTATGTATATACAAAAAAAAAGCTCTATATACATCTATACCTTATGAATCTTCAACTGACAATATCAATTAAAGCTCGGAGACTTCAATGGAACCCTTCTATGGGGATATGTTGTTGGCACTCAAGGCCTCCTTGAAGCCCAGGCTCAGTCTGGCGAGTTTTCAGATGAGATTACCGCCGCCCTAGGCACAAATGGCATTGGGAAATTCTTTCAAAGCTCACTCAATGCATACACCGCATGGGTCTACCCGGGGACAGACAAAGATGCTTACTATGGTTTGTCTAGATATCTTGCACTCTTCGGGGCGCGGAACATGTGCTAAAACTTATATCGCAGATGACAATGCTCAAGTCGCAATCGCGTTCCTACGTGCGTACGAGCTCGGACTTCCCGACAAGGCTATGTACCTTACCCAAGCGCAAAAGGTCATTGACTTCCTCTCTGGTGGCTGGGACGAAACCAATGGTGGCGTCACCTGGCATTATGGTAATGCGGGTAGAAACGCCGTCACAACGTCCTTGACTGCCGTGGCCATGTTGAGACTCGTTAAGCTTGGACAGGTGACCCCAGGAATGTCTAAGTCTCAGTTGATGGCGTTCGCGGTCAAGTGTATCGAGTGGGTTCTTACTGAGCTGCAGGTTGACTCGGGGCTGATCAAGGATGGTCCTAACGATGCACAAATTTACACGTACGTGGGCTAGCTTTTAGTTTTCTCATAACCTTGCTAACGAGTGTCTAGTTACAATACTGGTCTTGCCATCCATGCTATCTCATTGATGAACGAGCTTAACCCTAGTTACAACGGCGGAGCCAAGGCGAGGACACTCGTAAACGCGGCACTCGACAGAAGCAAGGGCTTGTTCGACACCAGTGTTACCAACGCTGAACATAGATATTGGTGGGACAATGTCTTCTTCTGCCAGCTCCTTGTCGAGGGATTGGCAGAGTACGTCAGAGTCTTTGGCAACGACAACAAAGCTCTTGCTTCACAGATCAAGACTGAGTTCCAGAGACATACCGATTACATTATGACCTACTTGAAGGATGGTAGTGATGGACTGTATGTTATCAAGCTCCCCTTTGCGAATCTCCCCAAAGCTACGACTAACATCAATTTCAGATACTGGCGAGGTCTTGAGCTCTACACTATCAATGAAGACACTCTTGCAGCATACAAGACTCTTACCGGAGATACTACAAGACAGCCCAAATATGCCCAGGAGGAGAGATACTACGATGCGGCTAGCAAGGCTCTTCCAATTGCCCAGCGTGGAATGGCAAAGACCGTGATCGGACAGGGCGGTGTAGCAAGAATCCTCTTGATTGCCGCGAGGTATCTTTGATGATTTACTATGTTTTTATGTTAATTATCTTCTATGTATCAAGGGATGAAAAGGAGGTGGGGAGGCGTTTTTGAAGATTATTGTGTGATTAGGCAACCACTTACATGGCTTAGACTTTTCTGTACAACTTGTATATTGCGAGTGCAAGATAGACTACATGTAGCTTTTATTGAATTTCATGGCGTTTTAAAATTATCTCGAGAGTGTATGTTCATCTGATGATGTTCCAGAAACTAAACTCACTTAACTTTCACACAGACATAGTATAATTCTTCGAACCTTAAAATAATAGCCTACTAGGAAGCCCGAGCCTGATATTCTCAAATAATTGCCCAAAAAGATAATTTCAATTACCCATGCATATAGGCTATCGATAAACGTATTATGAGTTGCGAACCTTTCCTGGGCGCACCTAGCTAGTATTATGAAACCCGCTGTAATAATTATATAAGAGGCATATATAAGACGTAGAAGTACAACTTCGGCTTACCATATATAATCGACGCTGTCACCATTTAAACAGTGACTTCGATCTTGCGAGATAAGCTCGAGCCGGCGACGGATATCTCCATTCGATCTGACCTTCATTAGATGGACGGGAGCACCCGTGCTTACCGTCTGCGGTATACGGGGCCAAGGAATACGTGGGCCCGCGCGTGGTCAAAAGCGGCGTCTTGGTGCCCGAGTGATGTTTCATGATGCAACACTGTATGTAGAAATGGCTGACATTTCCCTAGTTGATGAGAGTGATATCGCCGCGATCGGTGACCAGCAAACTGATGCAGGCGGGTTTGGTTTGTATATACAGCGAAAGCTTGCTATAACGGTACGCTCGGGGCCGGAATTTGGTACCGTTATAGAGAGATTACCCTTATATAGGAGGTGCTGGTGCTGAAAGCCAGGCAAAAAGGACCGAGAAATGCTACCGTTATAGAGAGATTACCCTTATAGAAAGTACCGTTATAGCAAGCTTTCGCTGTAGGACTAGCTGGGTGATGGTATGATGGAAATTAAGGGCTGGGCTGTGCCGCGTGCGAGACACCGCGTGCGATCTTTAAGTTATGCACGCGCACATATCCACATTCTTGGTTCCGTTTCGAGCGATTTTTTTGGCGGTCAGCAACGGAGATGGCTACCTAGTGCGAACGCTGCGTTGGGAGAATCATGTGCAATCACTCGTCTCTGGATCTTGGTCTAAACTCGTTATTCTTTGTTCTAATATTTCCTTTTTCTTTTTCTGGTACCGTTTTTGGTCTGGACCATGCACCTACAGTCGCAACTCGATATATATGCCGGATCCCTCCGAAATTCTAATGTTTTTACTGCAAAATCAATTTGCTATCCCGTACGAGATTTGGTGAATCTTGGCCATCCGGCATAGCGAGGTGCGACTGTACCTACATGTATGCAGTGAGGCCTCTACTACATACTGTTGATCCAAAATATCTCGTTTTCTCCCGCAGTTCCCGTTTTTATCTACCAAACAATTTTAGCTAGCATTTGTGCGCAATAATGAACTTGGGGTGTGATAATATATATATTATTCTATAAGCTATATACCCCAACAAAACCAATCCAACCCAACACTGACCACCTACAGCCCCATCTCCTTCAGCGCGACAACCAGGTCCCTAACACACTCCTCCAACAGCCTATAACTCATCCCCAGAATCTCCCTACTCCTGCTGTTATCCACCTTATAGCACCCTTCCTCCGGCAGCCCATCGTTCGGTTCCCGCACCTCCGGAAACTGGTCGGCATACTCGGGGAAGCACTTTGCGATGATGTCCACAATAATCTGGTTGGAGAAGTACTCGTTCGATGAGATCAGGAAGCGCTTGTTGGCGGCGTCGGGCTTCTCGAAGGCGAGGATGTGCGCTTCTGCTACTTCCTGTTGCGGGGGTTAGCGTGTGGATGGGGGGTGGGTGTTTTGTGGGGAGATGGGGAGATGGGGGGAGGGGGGGAGGGGGGGAGGGGGGGAGGGCTTACTCTAACGTCGGTCCAGAGGAAGACACCGCTGTGGGGGAGGCCCTGCTTGCATTTACCGCGGATAAAGTCCAGTGTGCGCTGAATCCGTTCGTTAGCCCCTTACTTCACCGCCGGATTCTCTATAAGAAGAGGGGGGGGGGGGGGGAACCCCATACCTCATTACTAGTATTCAGGCTCTCCAAGCTCGAAATATACGGCTTCGGCGGCCCAAACACCATCGGCGGATTAATCGTCGCAATATCGAAACCGGGTTTCTCCCTCTCTACAAACTCCCACGCTGCCTTCTCCGCCAGCTTCTTACTCGCGCGATACCCGTTCAGCGGATTCTCGAGGCCAGTCTCCCACGTGATTGGGTTCCAGTCGGCCTCCGTGTACGTCTTTCCCGGGTAGCTTCCCTGCGCGGCGTCGAATATCGCGGCGAACGAGGAAGTGATGACGATGCGCTTGACGCTGGGGGCGTACTTTTGGGCGGCCTGCAGGATGCCGACGGTGCCCTGGATGGCGGGCTCCATAAGCTGCTTCTGCGGGTCGGTGACGTTGAAGTGGAATGGGGAGGCGGTGTGGAGGATCCCGTCGAAGGGGGGGTCGGACTGTACGGCGGCGTCGAAGGCGCCGGGGACGACGATATCGGGGACGAGGACGTAGTCGAGTTGGGAGGCGTGCGAGGAGTGCGCGGCGAGCAGCTTTTGCGCTTTGTCTTCGCTGCGGACGGTGAAGCGGACGGAGTAGCCGCGGGCGAGGAGCTTCTCGAGAATGTGTGCTAGGAGGGGGGGTTAGTTATTTTGATGGCCATCTTGGATGTGGAGTGGTCCCCGGGTGGTTTGGGGGGGGGGGGGGGGGGACTTACAGGCAATGAAGCCGGAGGCACCTGGTGGGAAAGAATCGTCAGTATGAGTTTCCGTAGAGCATTGGAGAGGTAGCTGGCTTGAGAACTGAGCTGGTAGAACTTACCGGTGAGCAGAATGCGAGTCATTTTTGATGGAATTAATGGATAGTTGGGTTTGGGGTATCGACTATAGTTTCAAGATTGAAGAATTGGGTTTGAGGAACTCGGAGGTGGGGCTGTGGTTGGATTTATACCCCAAGAGCAGCTCTCGGTGCACTTTCCCCCACACTCTGTAATTTACGTCATGAGGGAATATGTGATCGCATCCGGATACAAGGGTTTTTGATAGCATAATGTTCTGTAATTCCACTTGAGGATCGGATATACGGCGGGAATAGGACATATTCCAGCTCGGTGGAAATACTCCTTATCAGAGAATGGGTAAGCTACATGGAGATAGAGTACATACATGGACATCAATGTGTGCATGATCAACGCGCTACATCGTGAACTCCAGGCATTGCCTTGTAGGTATCTACAATTGTCTGAAGCTGCCGTCCAGACTCTGGAGTTTTGTCGATCACGATGGATGATGCAACCAGAGCGCAGGTTGCGTTGAGGGGGGCGTTCAGCCACCTCGCACGGCCACAAGCATCTATGGGCAATGATTTTACCGACGATAAAAGTTGCCATACAAAATTAAAGTTAGAACATCGACAGCGCTGGGCGGCCTTGTGTGAACCACAAAGATATCACATGAATTTTTCTTTCGCTCTCGTGAATATTCCAGCAATGCCCGTGATATCGACGTCCCTCCGACAAACCGGGGGACTTCCTCTAGAATTCGAACCGATTCACGGGCGGGGAGATATCCCGAGCTTGCTTACCAAGAAGAAGCGCCGATAGCCAGCTGCAGCAGTGACTGAGCCACCTCACACGCCTGCCAAGCCACATGAGGGGCGGCACCGAATATCAATGCAGCTTGGCCCCCGCCCACATCCCATCCCATCGCAACTCTCACACAGAAAACATCAGCCCACTCACTCAGATATTATTATATTACCCTCAATCTGATAAGACCTGCATATCTCCAGCCCATCTACTATCTACTCACATCTACCTACCACTGTAGCCATGTCGTCGGTGCCCACAAGGGTGCTCCCTTCGCTGTGTCGCGCCACAAACCTCGCACGCTCGAGGTCGTCGCCGCTGGCCCGTACGCTGCTCCCTAGGCTCCAGGGCCAGGCGAGATGCTATGTCTCGTCTTCAGGAAAGAAGAATGCTGCTGTCAATGCCGCTGTCAATGTCGATATACAGAACAGGGCGATTGACACCCAGGACTTTGTCAACAAGACTGGCGGGATGAAGCCGTCGGAAATGTCAATTGGGAACGGATTGACTGCCGATGCCATGATGTCGCCTTCTGCAGGTAATTATTCCGTCTCTATTTTCAATCTTTCGCTCCTCCCACCTTGCATTGGATTTGTAATTGGCTAACTCTGGTGCGATACCAACCAGGGATCCTCAAGCAGGCCACAATAATGGACGAAGGCACCCGCCCCATCTACCTTGACATGCAGGCCACCACCCCCACCGACCCCCGCGTCCTCGACGCCATGCTCCCCTTCTTCACCGGCCTCTACGGCAACCCGCACTCGCGCACCCACGCCTACGGCTGGGAGACCGAGAAGGCCACCGAGGAGGCCCGCGCCAACATTGCGCGCCTCATCGGTGCAGACCCAAAGGAGATCATCTTCACCTCGGGCGCCACCGAGTCAAACAACATGAGCATCAAGGGCGTCGCCCGCTTCTACAAGAGCAAGAAGAAGCACATCATCACCAGCCAGACGGAGCACAAGTGCGTGCTCGACTCGTGCCGCCACTTGGAGAGCGAGGGCTTCGAGATCACGTATCTCCCGGTGCAGCAGAATGGCCTGATTGATCTGAAGGAGCTGGAGGCGGCTATTCGCCCGGATACGGCGTTGGTGTCGATCATGGCGGTTAACAACGAGATTGGGGTCATTCAGCCGATGGAGGAGATTGGGAAGCTGTGTAGGTCGAGGAAGGTCTTTTTCCACACGGATGCAGCGCAGGCGGTGGGAAAGATCCCGATGGATGTCAATAAGATGCAGATTGACTTGATGTCTATCTCTGGACACAAGGTGTACGGACCGAAGGGAATTGGCGCCTGCTACGTCAGGAGGCGACCAAGGGTCAGAATCGAGCCTTTGATCTCGGGAGGTGGACAGGAGCGTGGTCTCCGAAGTGGAACTCTTGCGCCACCCCTCGTCATCGGGTTTGGTGAGGCCTGCCGTATTGCTTACGAGGAACTCGAGGTAACAACTCTCTCCCGATAACTGTATTGACAGCATATTGACAATTCCTCTAGTACGACCACAAGCGCATCTCAGCCCTCTCCAAGCGCCTCTCAGACGGCCTCCTCGCAATGGAGCACACAACGCTCAACGGCGACCCCAGCGCGCGCTACCCCGGCTGCGTCAACATCTCCTTCGCCTACGTCGAAGGCGAGTCGCTCCTCATGGCGCTCAAGGACATTGCGCTCTCCTCCGGCTCCGCCTGCACCTCTGCGTCGCTCGAGCCCTCGTATGTCCTCCGCGCGCTCGGCTCCAGCGACGAGAGCGCGCACAGCAGTATCCGCTTCGGCATCGGAAGGTTCACGACGGAGCAGGAGATCGACTATGTGCTGAATGCGGTCAAGCAGCGCGTTACGTTCTTGAGGGAGCTGAGCCCGTTGTGGGAGCTGGTGCAGGAAGGGGTGGACTTGAATACGATTGAGTGGAGTCAGCATTAGGTGTAAAACATCCTTTTTTCCCTGTTCTGTTCTTGCTCTGGTTCTTGTATGTTTTTTTTTTATTTTATAGTTGTGGTTGTATGAAATGATTGTGTGATGGTACGATTTTTTGTGAGGAAAGAAAAAAATGGATTGGGTGGTTTGGTGTTCTGATTTTTTTGTTTTTTGATACTTTTTTTTGCTTTGGTCTTATTCTTTCTTTAATTTATCATCGTTGGCTGAGCTGCTGTTTTGTTGGTTTGGGGGTGGTGTGCATGGTGAGGATGTAGTGGAGAGTGGAGGTTTGGAGGTTTGGAGGTTTGGAGGTTTGGAGGCGTGGATGTGTGTGTGCATTGGGAGATATCAATAGCTGGCAGACCCGAGTCAGTCATGTCAGACATGTTAGTTACTGCATATGTAAATACGAATTCCGCTCTTTATTGCTGGCATCTGTGGTGAGTCTACTTATATATCCGCTGGTGTTATGTCAATTCCGACTCGAGGGCTCTGTTTTTGGTGTGCGAGTGATTGTCTATGACCGAGTCAACACCGTCTTGAAAGAAGCTGATGAAGGGTCATGCCTAGCCCTCCCACTGTTCTACCGGGAGGATTACTGCTAAGACTAACTCTTCAGTGCCTCTAATAACGTTGGGGAAATACCATAGCATCTACCGCGGTAGCCTAGTTGCTATCGTGTCGCCCAGAGGGGCCGAGGTTGTCCGTTCGAACCACCTCCCAGGCTTGGTTGAAAGACTGTGTGACTGGGTATAAAAGGGGTTGTAGCTAGTTTCCTCCTTTTTACTATTTTGGATATCTGTTTTTTTGTTTTTTTGCCCTTCTTTTTCGTGTTTCCTGTATATATTCGATCTTTACCTGCGTGTATGTTAATTGGGGGTCATCGTCATGGAGGATCGAGGGACGGAGCACATTATGCTCGGAGGATAGAGGGTATGGGATGAAGCTGGTAATCGATTCCCAGAAGGTGGAGGTAGCAGTACCAGTCATCCGCGGAGCTCAAAAAACAAAGGGTGGCCAGCTGAAGCAGTGGGAGTCTATACTACTATGTAGTCATGAGGTTATGTGTAATAAATGGCACTTACCTGGAAAGCAGATCCTCGGCAAGACTTTTTTGTTCTTTTGGGCTTCTCGTTCATTACATGTAGTTGTCTCTCATCCCTCCAGCCCATCGTTAGACTCCATTCAATTAATGGGGCAGGGCCGGATATAGGAAGTTAGTATTCAGCGAAACCTTTCCGTTCTATATCTACATGTATCTACTATCTGCTATATCACTATTGAATGGAATCAGCAGATATCAATCTCATAACAAAAGGATATGTAGAAGAGGTATTCACATAGTTTCGGAGCTGATGAGAAGGTCTGCTTGCATACATAATCTAGGGCCCGAGTACATACCTGGGCTCGGACTGTAGGGGATCAATCACGATCACAAGCCTACGTGAGCGGAACAAATGCCCACCCTAAAGCAGACGCCGAGACGGAGTGGCCTTGGTTCATATCATTCGTAGATCACTTTATCTCTAGATCTTATCTACAATCAATCAATAGCTCTTTATAATCCGCTCCAGCAGGTTTGGTAGCATAGGCAAAACAATGCGCCTTATCCAGCACCCTTAGGAACCGTTGATCCTCCCCGAGCGCTGTTGCATCTTTCTTTTTTCTTTTGCTTTCCTGCGGGGGGGTGTATGTAGGTATGTAGATTTATTATTATTATTATTATTATTATTATTATTATATAGTGGATTTCCTGATGCTGTAAAACTTAATGTCTTCTTCATCTTCATGGGATATCACTCGCTCATGTAAACCTGCCTTTATTGCGTATTTGGCTTTTCGAATGAGGTTGACCTTGAACAGGCGAGCTGTCTGAATTTAAGCTGTCATGTCGATACCTGTCCCTGTCGTGTCGACACTTGTCCGATCCGTGACTATAGCGAGTGAGAATTAAGTCATTCAGCTACATGTTCTCGTCCTACTTTTTCAGCAGCCCCGTTCGAGACATTATGCGTACATTTTGGTGAATAGGGAAGTTTATATTCACAAAGTCTACCTTTCTACTGGTACATAGATGCCCCCAGCGGATCCAGTACCATATCTGACAGAATACTGTAGAGTTACGGTACTGCTACGGTATATTGCTACGGCATAATAACTAGGATTCCAATTTAATTCGGAAGTTTTACACAGTTCCGTATTGGTAGAGTAGTTTACATCCCCTTTTTGGGCACTGCACTCACCTTCATCTACACATGTCGAGATCCCAAGACCAAGCAAGACCCTGCATGCACAGGCCACATTGCCAAGATCAATTTACGCGACGCGCTTGAACGCGTTACCACAACGGAAAACCCCAAAAAAAACCTCAACCCGATTGAGGTCCGCTATAGACACCGGAACAGAGAACCATCGATTAACACCCCCGAAAGGCCTTTCCCATCAAGACTTTATAGTTTTATACTTCTTTAATTCTTAATACTACCCCCAGTTGCCAAATTCTTCGGCGGCGCGACGGCTTGCGATAATGGAGTCCGACAGTGAGAACGATACTCAGGCCTTTGCCGCAGCTCCAGAGACTGTGGATCCTCTGATTGTGCGTCTTCCTGTATTCAGACGGTACTGGGCAGCTAGCTAATATGTTGTTGTTTCTATCATACAGAGAGCGCACATCCTTTCTCTAGTTTCGGCGGTAAAACAACCCGCCCCATGCATTCCCGGTAATCCGCAGGAAACATAAACTCTGACAGGGAAATATTGGGATATATAGCTCGGAGGAGTTACACCTACAGGATACGACCTGGGAGACGACGCATTGGCCTGTCTGAAGGATCTACGGAGATGGTTACGGCTCTACGACGAAAAGCTTAATCGCTATGATGTATGATGCACCTCGGGAGTGAGGGGAGGGGTTATGGGGATGGGGAAAGGTGCTGATGGGTATATACAGGTTGCGCGATGCATGGCGGAGGCGAACTTAGTAAATGGGGATCTAGTTGAAATTCTCGCCGACTGGAAAGAAGAAGACACCGAGAATAAAGCTAAACACAGATTAGCACTCGCCTGCGGTAAGCCTATCCCCCACAACTCCCTTCGGCACTCCCGAGCTGGGCCATTGGTTTGTACAAAACATATTAATGATTCACAGTCGAGATCCTCGTCCCGCTCACATGGCCATTTGAGAAGTCGCTCTCGGAGATGACGCAGAACCACCACCGTCACCAGCCAGTCCTCCTCCACGCGCAAGCCTCGTACAAATCCGCAATCCTCCGACACTCGTCGCGCAAGATCCTCTCTTCAATTGCACGCGTGGCCCTTCCGTCCGTCGCCATCCCCGCCATAGAACGCACCGAGCGAGATGAAGGCATTATCCGGCTAGTCCTGTACTTTTTCCGGAACATTGCCATGATTGAGCACCCCAACCCCAACGAGTCGGACACCGGCGAGGATATCAATCGCTGCGCTACTATCGAGGCGTTCAACGACCAGAATGTCATACACCTCCTGCTTGCGATCGCGAGTAACATGGGCGGCGAGTTTGTCACGCAGGATGTGGTCGTTATGGAGGCTGTGTATCACCTGCTCAAGAGCGTGGACATTGAGCAGCTGTTCAGGACAGAAGAGGAGGAGAGAAATAAGAAGGTGGGGAGCCTGACGGACTTGCTCAAGAGAGAAGACGAAATGAAGAGGGCTGCGGCAAGGAGCAGGAGTACAAGGCATAACCGCTTTGGCACGACTGTTTGGATGGAGAAAGATGACGGGCGGCGCGCATTCGTCTCTGGTCAGGATGCACTACTGGGGAGAGACACAGCGCAGAAAAAGATGGATTCCAGCAAGAAGTGGAAAAAGCCCAAGGGCAGCGACGTCAAGGGTGTCGGGCACAAGACAGAATTTGACCTGGTCGTCACTCTCGAGGGCGCCTCAAAGCCCCAGATGCGAACCTTTGTAGAGGACTTTCTCGACGCCGGTTTCAACCCGTTGTTTAGCCATATCCGCCGCGCTATTGACCGCGATGCGGAAAGACTTCTCAATACCAACCAGCGCCAGTTCTTCTACCTGGTCGCTTGGTTCCTCAAAGCGGAACGGGCACGCCGAAAGGCGGCCGCAAAGCTACAGTTACAGCAGCCTACCGCGGATGCGGCGGCGGCGGATGATTCGTTCTCTCTTGTGGCCTCGGTGCTGAACCAGGAGATGCTGATCACGCTGAACCGGCGGATGACAGAGTGGTATGAGTCCAAGTCATGGCTAGAGCTCCAATCGGGGATGCGATGCTTCACGCAGATCCTGCTCACCGTACAAGACATGACAGCATCACCGCTGGAGGAAGACCAAGAGATTGCGGAGAACATCCAGAACCGGCTGTTCTACGAGGAGACCACTCTCGATCTTATCATTGGCATCCTACGCTCCTACACCAAGCAGCCGTTCGGCTGGCTGGATGACTGCACCGAGATGGTCCACGTGCACCTCAAGATGCTCGAGCGCTACTCGAAGCAGCACGATCACCTCTTCGTCCGCTCCAAGCGGCAGCAGAAGGCGAAAAAGAAGCGGCAGCAGCAGGACGGAATTGACATGCCCGCCGACGACGACAACAACGAGGAGGACGATGAGGAGCTCTCCCTGCAGTCACGCAACACGATGCGCGAGCGCGCCTTCGACTTTAAAAAGTTCGAGGGCAAGCTGCTGCAGCAGAGCTGCGTCAGCACGTTCCTGGCCTTCCTGGACAACTACAAGGAGCTGTCGTACGCGCAGGTCAAGCGGGCCATCACGTTCTTCCACAGGATCTTTGTGAAGCGGCAGGAGGAGGTGCTGCTGTTTAGGATTGATATCGTAGAGCAATTTTATCGCATCATGCAGGACCCGGATGGGCTGCCGCAGGGACACCCAGCGAGGAAGGAGATGGACCAGTTTGTGAAATACTACTTGAGGAAGCTGATCAAGAAGCTGGAGAATAGGCCGGAGATGTATGTGGAGTTGCTGTTCACAAAGCTGAATAGCACGATGCATTACTTGACGCATGGCTATGATAAGGAGATTAGAGTTAGGGTGCCGAGGTTTGTATCCCCGGAATTATACTAATTGCTAGAAATTGACACTGACATGCGGTAGGCCGGCGGCGGAGTTACATATTCCAGGGCTACCTAGGAACGAACAGATCGGTGTCGCTGTTGGTGCACTGGTTGACGACAATAAGGGCGATGCGGTGGACTGGGTGAAGGATGTCCTCAACAAGGCCATCAGCGAGCGCAAGGCCTGGGAGGCCGAAGACGCAGCCCGCAGGATTCTCGAAGCAGAGGCAGCCGCAGATGCCGGCGCAGAGGTCATTGAGAGCGAGGCTCCCAAACCGCCATATATCAGTAAGTCACGGTCGTGCCATACAAATCTACATTACTCTAAAAGCTAACTATCTCCAGCCATCACACCCGACACCGAAGAGCGCAAGACTGCACTCTTCAAAGACGCAAAACTCCGCCTTCTCATGACCATCCTCGGGCTCGAACGACTCGGCGTCGACGACGAGAGTCCAGAAACACCATGGATCATCCCCGCCACCCTCACTTCCGAAAACCTCAAAGAGTCCTTCGACCTGCTCAAGAAGTACACCAACGATCCCCTCGTCCTCGACGACGGCATCGCCGCCGAGGACCTCATCAAGCGCAAATCCCGCCCCCGCCTCTCCGCCCCCGACTCAGAGCCTGACGACAACGAAAACGACGAAGAAAACGAATTCGTCCCTGGCGGCCCCACAGAGACGCAGCCGCTCGAGCCACGCAAGAAGCCCGCCAGGCCGCCGCGACGCCGGCGCCGCGACCCCGTCGATGACGAGTCGGCAATGGACCTTGATGCGCTCGCGGCCGCGGAGGAGCGGCTTGCGGCGCGGCTACAGAAGGATAAGGAGAAGCGCGTGGCCATCAAGAGCACGCTGTACGTGCATGAGTCGGACGACGAGCTGGATCCCGAGCAGGAGATAGCGTTTCTGCTGCGCGAGAAGGCGCAGCGGGAGGGCGGGCCGGCGCGGTTGGAGACGGGCGGTGGGGCGTCGGCGAAGTTATTTTCGAGGCTTGTGGCGCCGGCGGGGACGGGTACGAGGAAGAGAAAGAAGGTGGGGGGCGGGAGCCCAGAGAAGAAGAAAAAGAGGGTGGTGGAGGAGAGTGATGCTACTGAAGAGCTTGATGAGGAGGATGAGGAGGACCGGGGCGTGATCTCGAGGGATGCGACGCCTGTGGTGCCCGGGGATGGGACAGGGGAGGAGGAGGAGGAGAGCGACAATTCGGGTGGTGGGACGGCTTCGCCGAAGGGACGCGGTGATGTGGACATGGTTGATGCTGGTGAAGATGATGATGGTGAAGAGGAAGAGGAAGCACCGCGGCCTAGTGCTAGTGCTAGTAGGGCTAGGAGGGGACCAGTGATCGTGGATAGCGATTCGGAGTAGTGTTGGGGCGAACGATACCATTTGCATGTACATTAATTGGAGTTCTTTTCTTATAATAATCACTCGGCTTTAGAAGTGTTTGTTTAGTGTGGATTTAATTTGGTGTTAATGACTTTATGCAAGATGCCGGTGATGATGGTGTTTGGAGGCGAGTATCGTATCATGATCGACACGGTGCCCTGATGCGGTATGTGGAATAGTTTTTTTGGACCCCACAAATATATTATATCTTGATGTTTGAAGCAGGAAAAAGAGGTGATGTTTGGGAATTAATTATACACCCGTGTAGCTAGCTGGCATCGGAATACAATTAATGAATTATCAATCAATCAATCAATGCAATGGCTGGCATCGGAAAGTGTTGATGTTGTGATGGACGAGCGAGACTAAACCCCCTCTTGCTACCTGCCTCAAAGACATAGTGCCCGATATTGCCCCGCAATCAAGCCAGTAGCAGGCCTCTACACGGCACTCCACGCCCGCTGCGTTTCAATTATTATGAGCGTCCTAAGCTTTTTTATCATCACCATAAATCACTCGCCCACCGCACCACATAGGGCCAGGGTTATATGCATCCGCATGCACACAAGCGCCAGGAACCGTGTATGTAAGCACCAGGCACCCGCCAAGCGCTGGCTGGCACTACAAATTACAAATTACAAAACAACGGGGTACATAGGTAGAGGGGAATAGAGTAGACACTGTCACTGCCGTAGACAGCGGCTGCCGGAAACGCCTTATCCCACGGTGACGGTCCAGAGAGGTTACATAGACAGAGGGGCCGCCAGAGGAAGGCAAGCTGGTAGGGCTGGTCTGGTCTGGTCTGGTCTGGTGCTTGGCAACGGATATATAACGGGCAACTATGGAAGGAAGCTATTTCGGGCCGCAGCAGGTGAGTGTGTGATCTGCAGCAGTAAAGTGCTAACCCTTGGTTCAACGTGTTTCCATAGAGTGCTTGCTCTGCAGATGCCTGCAATCCAGCCAGATATATATTTTATTTTACTCTAATACGGGGGCCGGGGAGGGGAACGCAGAGATTCCAAATCCAAATTGGAGGATATGGATGGATGGATGGATGGAATCTCAGAGATAAGCTCAGTCAGCGCTCTCCCATACACTGCATACACGCAGGCTGGCTGGCAGAACGCTGAGAGTCGGCTGTTGTGTTTGTGGGGTGGGGGGGGGGGGGTTAGTTTCGGGTCGGACTCAGCTAGCTCAGTACCGCAGCGAGCGCGCATGTGGGAGTGCAAGTGCAACTACAGGTGCAAGTGTGTGTGTGAGAGTATTTGCGTATGTATATGCCCTTATTATATGTATGTGTGTATGTGTTTGTGTGTGCTTTTGTGTAAGAGATATCCGGGCTGAACACGATACGATACCTACTACATGCGTGCGTTCCGATCCGTTACACCGGTTCATGAGCTCAGTTGAGTTTTGAGTCGAGACGGCGAGCGGGCGGACTGCGCCCGCCAGTTTGTTTACACTGTCTAAGACTTAGACTAGGCAAGACTAAGACTAAGGGAACATCGGAAAACAAAATGACGGAATATCGGATCTGGTACCGGATGGATGGGCTGGGTGGGCTGTAGCCTGTGTCACACACTGTGCTCACTCTGTGTAATACAATACCCACAATACAGTACAAACCTTCTATACCTACTAGTATTCTAACAATCTAACATTATATTATTCCTTTCCCTTCAAACACCGGGACCGCGCGAAGATCTAGAGATAACTGCAAGTAACTGCATTAATATTTGAAATACCCACTACCCCCCCCCCCCCCAATTATCGTCATCTCAGTAGTGAAACGGCCCGAAACAAACGGTTACAAACCTCAGCACCTCAGCATACAAAGCAGTTAGACCTCCCGCCCGAGAACGAGACCAATCGTCGCCGCCCCCCCCCCCCCCCCCATTCCCGGGTTTCTAGATGATGATGCCCGACACATCGGGCTTAGAACGTGTGACACAGCTGAGCATGAGCGCAAAACTGGCTAGCGCCGCCCAAATTTCATGCAAGGCTGGTAGCTAGCTGCTCATCCTGGGCCTGGTCTACTACCTAGAGTACTCGTATTGTACTACGAGTACTCTGCTCTCTACATGTACCCTATCTCCAGTAGAGTATGGTACGGCCGGGGGGATACTCTACATGTACCTAGGTATCTCTATATGGGGGCCGGGCATGGGGGGGGGGGGGTTACAGTACAAACCCGCCGGTGCTTGTTTCCCTCCGATCATTCCCCATGCGGCAAGGCGTAGTCCCCACCATCCCAGCTTTCGAGACTTTCTGGAATCAAAGGAAGGGGAGTCAGGATGATGGCTGCATGTTTCGGTTTCTAGTACTCTAACTAGATGCCTAGGCACCTACTGACGATATGAGGAAGGGTTGCCATGATACCTGTACCCAGGGCCGGGTGGAGCTGGACCCCATAGATTAACATTTTTTCGGGGTGTTATGAAGGAGGAGGCTGTACAGTACCGATTGTATGTACGTATGAGTATGGGATGAGATGGGATGGGGTGGGATGTGTACCTACTGCATGCGCAGCGTTTGGTTCGTGGTGGATACTTAGGTTATATATATATACATGTATGTGTGTGTGTGTGTGTGTGTGAGAGAGTACGGGTACGGAGTATATATAAATGTGTTTGTTCGACTTTTCTTCACTCCATTGATATCCCGTCTTGATATAAGAAGTGCCTACGCCATATACAAACCACACAACTACAATACAATAACGAATATAACACCACCATCATATTTCTCCCCAGCCAAACAAAAACACACACCCGCCCCACGAGTTCATCTCATTATGCCATCAATCATGAACAACAGCAATGAAATAAACTACCGAACAGCCCTCCAAAAACCCGACTGTGCCGACAACTGGCTCACCGAGATTGAGATTGAATTCGAAAAAGTGTCTGAAGAGCTCGAAAGTCAGTCTCTCTACTATCTTGTTTATCTCTGGCTCCCATTCGAATACTAACAAACCACCAGTGGACATCACGCTAATCTTCCCCATAACCGAGCGGCCCTCTCGCCCACGCCGGTTTGATCTCCACGTCATGAATCCCGGTATGTATACGCCCCTTGAATAATTATAACACCACTAGTAGACGTACTACTAGCACTCTACTACTCCACCACTCCTTCATTACCACATCACTAACAAACCCCATCCAGAATCCCCCATAACCACCACCCGACCCTGGCGGCGTCTCCCGCCCTCCCCCGGCCCGCCGCCAAACCGCCCGCTGCCGCCCCTCCCGGCTTCAGCGTCCTCAACGTCTCTGCCGTCGTCTCTACCGTCGAGCAGCAGCAGCAGTACAATCCGAAGATCAAAGACCGAGGCAGCGTGAGCAACCCCCACCCCGCAAGTTTCATGTTTCCTGGGGATGGTTACTAATCCTGGTTTTTTTTTTTTTTCAATTGCAGGATCGCGAGTGGGCAGAAGGCGTCGTCGAGATTAAGGGACCGGTTTAGACTCGGGAGACGGTCTGCGATCGTGCAGGTATAGGTGAAGGTGTGGAGCATTGATTGCTCTGGCTGAGGAGAAACTGGAATTGTGATCGACGGGGTGGTGTGGGGTGGGGTGGATGTTACTGCTGCTGCTGCTGCTGCCGCTGGTGGTAGTAGACAAATATGGCTGTTCTGGAATCGGCAATATGACCGCCCTGGATGGCTTAAGAAACGACTTTTGCGCTCATTTCCTGGGTCTGCAGATAGATATGCGGGATGCGGATGAGCATGGGGATGTGGTTAATGATTGGGAATATTGGGGATATTGGGGGTATGGGGGTATGGTATGGTATGGGGGTATGGGAGCAATTACTTACGATGATGATGATGATGATGATATGAATTAATTGAATCTGTATATATACGTAACATGACGAATAAAGAACTAGATCTGCTTTGTTTATATATGCCGAGTTAAGAGAGAGAGAGAGAATCAATGATATTGGTTGAAGGGGTCGCGCTAGCCCGGGGGAGAGATGATGTATGGCAATCTCCCGAGCATCCTGGCATACATAAAAGAAGATGTCTTTTCTTGGTCCTGTAATCTGTAATATAATAAATATACCTTCGGTGAGGAATCGGCAGACCTTGAGGGATCGATGCAAGCGGTAATCTTATCAGATCTGAAAGATACAAAAAACCCTCGGGTCAAAGAGATGTGGCTCCCTTTGGCTGGTTGGTGGTCTGGATTGTGTTCCTTTTTTTGTGTGTGTGTTTGTGTGTATCTCCAGATCCTGAGACAGAATAGTTCACGGGTAGATCCTGTTTGCGCCATCTCCATGGATGGTCATAGCTTTGTCTCGTCTTTCCTTTTGATTAAACATATATCAAATCATTCTTATGGATATCTATATTGAAACAGCACTATAAGAGCCATATATAGCCATTCCCGTCTCCGGAGTCTCATCCGGGAGCATCTATATAGCTGATCCTGTGCCTACATCTATCAAAAAATCGCTCCGATCCAACCGAGCTGTCGATAAACGGGTTGACGGGATATATCAATATAATATAACATACATCTATAGTTATAGCCCGGGCCCTTGCACGGCCGGAGCAAGGGGCAAGGAAGGTCTCGTTAATATGTTCCCGACCCCAAACTCTCTAGATCACCTTTACCCGTCGACGGGCAGGTGGAGGGGCCCGGGGCGGCTGCGTAGATTGTGATTGTCGATCATGTATCTCGGGGTATATATATAATGTGGTATAGTTTTTTGGCTTCATGGGTACCGTCCGGGGCGGGGGTGAATGGAGTTCGCTCTTAGAGGGAGGAGAAACGATGCGGCTTGGCGCATCTTCCCCGGCGGCTTGAGGGGGGGTCGGGAGCATGTAGGTGGATGGTCCGACCGGGTCGGTAGACCAAACGATAGATACGGCGGGCTTTCCATTCCCGATACACTTTAGACCGATTGCACGCAGTTTTCTTGTGATAATGCGTCCACCACCACCACCTGCAAAGCAAACACCCCACTCCATTTCCCAACTCCACTACAACCGCCTTATATATTATATCCACAGCCATACAGAAGGGGAGGAGCAGGGGGGCGCGCAGCAAGGCCTCTTTCCCCGCCCCTAGCTCTCTGTGTTGGCGCGCAGGACCGTGCGGTCTACCACTCATCACCTTCTGAGCGGGGGTGGTGTGGTGGGGGGACGCCGGCGAGTGATATTCTGTGATCGTGACATGGCCGCAAGGTAGATAGGGTACGCCGAATATTCATCCGAGCCGCCGACGCCAACCTCACCAAAATTCTCGCGCCAACCACAACCACGGGGCAGAACCTAATAGTAGCATGTTAACAGCGATAGTGTTATTCACGCAGATGCACGGGCACAAAGCTGGCAGTACCCGGAAACGGTTGTTTTGGGCAGAACCGAGTGATATGGTGTGATGCCTACATGCACGGTGTTGGAGAGTTGTGTGTGTGTCAGTTCAGCGGCATGTTGGCTGCCTGAATTTGGTGACATGTACTGCGTTCTTTAAGGCTGGCTCCGTGGTGGTGAGTTTGGATGAAGCTGCTGTTCTGAGTGTATGTAGATGCAGCCTTGGTTAGAGAGTTGTCTGTGGTGGCTCGAGTCGCGTGGTAGCGACCACATGGGGAAGACACGATCCATGGGTCAGGCAGGGAGACAGTTTTTTTCTTTTTTTTCTCTCTTTTTTTAATTCATTAGTTGCATGCAGCCTTACGGCTATGACAATAGGCAGTGAGACAATGTAATGGGGTGGGTATGTAATTGTTTATGCAAGGTAAGAAATGGTTTAAGCTCTTGGTGCATATATGGAGCTGGAAAAGCACATCTAGATCTACAGATACTTGATATAGTGAATTTGAGGATGTCGATTTATCATGACTGCATTGGAAGTCCAGAAGTTGTCTCTGATAATCGGGTACATACCTCCTTCACCCTCATCCCCGGTCTCGCATTACATGGGGAAATACTTATACCGCTGAATATGGGCTTTATTTCTCGAGAGAGGAGGCTTTTACACGCTATCTCCAGTCTGGCTGATGTCTTCCATAGATCAAGAACATGAGATATAGAATGGCTGTACATATCGGAAAGACATATACTACAAAAGTGACATTTGTGCTTCTTGCGGTAAGGTCAAAGCTTTACGATAGAAGAATTACTACGAATCAATGAGGTTTGAAGGATGGTCTAAATTGCTGGAGATTTTTGAAAGGAAAAACGTATTTATATATATGAATACCGCGTACCTAAGCAAGAGACAAAGGAGAGCTCGAACAACGTAAAGAAAATGAGAGAAAAAGAAGGTACGTGTGGCGAACGCCAAGATATTCGAGCATTAAGCTTAAGGCAAGGAAATTTCAGAAAGAAAGTTATACACCAGTCGGCGCCTAGCTGCTCAACTGCAAAATGTATATCCTCTTGGAAAATTAGAGACCATGTCGTAGATACTACGAAGTTTTCACCTGATTGTAGGGCCGAAGAGTAATTGTCTTGATATTTCTTCTGGATTCCAGATTAACATCTTCCGTGAAACATGCAGTGTAATCCTATGAAATTCTCTATGAAAGCACAGTACTTAAAGGGAAATTACTTACGATATTTTTACTACGCATACTAAAGAAAACAAGCAGGTTTCTATAGGCTCTTTATCATAACAATAGTACATATCGGCAGGAATACCGATCTTCTCTTGATCTTTCACCGTGTATTCGACGCGATCTCCTTCGATTAGGAATTTGGAACATGCTTTTAACTTTACGCATGTATACATGTATTCAAATACATGTATGGCTAAAACAAAGTATCAGCCAATGTATGTAATGCTGCTTGGAGCGAACGCTTTTACCTGCTCTAGGATCGATTTTTTTCAGTAGATGCCGAGGAGTATCTTCTGTGGCACTCCGAATAGAACGTCTATCAACTTCGGCTACATCATTCAATGCTGTCTGTGTTGTGCATGTGCATACCCCCACCGGGTCAGGCTGAGTTTGATTTGATGTAATCGCAAGAGAAGTGCTGTCGAGGAAAAATTTAACTTAGTATATATATTTGACACATTGAGGTGAAGATCAACTTACGCCATTTGGTTCACCGCCAAGAGAAGTGTAAGAGTGCTCTTACTCCTCTCCATCCGAGCAAAAAACTCCAGGGTCTTTTTCTCCGTTTGCTGTCTTTGTAGATAGCTCATGAAGATCGTCTTTATACCCTTTCCCTTTGATCTCAGGCCCACCTCTCTCTGGAACCTTGTTATCTCGTCCATGCACTCTTGGGTGCAACTCTTAACAAGATTTAGTGTTCCTGATGACAGGTGGGCTCCCACGTCTTTGACAACACTCATCAGCTCGGTGAGCACGTTTTCGAGTACGTGCAACTCGTTTTCGATTTTTGGTTCTTTTGGGCTGGGCAATGTTCCACTGAAAAACTTATAACAGTCCGCAACAGCCTCTGTGAGTGCTAGAATACTCGCCATAGTTCCCAGGATTTCTGACATATCGAAATAGTGAATTAGAGGTTGAAAATGGATATATGGCTGCCGATTGCGAGGACGAGTAGATATCTGATGGGAGTAATTACTACATGGGCTTACCAAGTTATTGAATTTGAGAAATCAAGCGTTCTTATAGAGGACAAATATATGAACGCTGGATCTTCTATTCAGGAGAGGTCGCATACACAGTCTGGAACTTAATAGCTCAGCTTAATGGTATTTTCTTCCCCTAACTCATTCCTCACTGAACTGAGTCGATTTGACTTGGTGTAACGTCACCCGGCGTCCCTGCCAGCAAGTGCCGCCAATCGAATTCGCGAAACTTGGAGCGCCTGCAGGAAGGCTTCTTGGGATTCCCGATTCTGTACAGCGCGTATAAGACTTTACTGGCCCAGCCAGTAATAAAAACCCCACTCACAGGACTTTTCTTTTGCTGCAGATACAGTAGTTGCGATGGGGTGTTCCTATGGTGGTCATGTGATGTGGTACTGGAGTTTTGCTAAGTTTGCAACTGATTACGGGCTTGTGGTGGGGTAATGCCGCGCTGAGTTGCTGAGCGATGAAATATTGCCGGCAGAATCAGTCTGAAGAACTCAAATCTTTCGAAATATTTCTCGGTTGCGTATCTCTGAAACGTATCCCTGTGATTACGATCTTCGCTGTCGCCTTCAACTTCGTGAGCAAGGAAATGTCCATCTTAGAAGCACTATCCTTTATATTCACCTTCGGTAGTCTGGTGGATGGAGTAACTAAAAGGACGGGCTGCTCCAGTTATATTTCTTATCTTCAGATGGGATGAATGGCCTAAACCTATTGAGTATGTGCGTACCTCTATGGAGACCAGCGACCGGCTGGCGATTCGATACTCGACATTCTAGCGTTGCAAGAATAGATAGATCTCCTCCAGATATATATACTTGGCTAGATCTACTCTAAGAGCGGCTCTGAGCACTGCTTCCCTTATGGATGAGTCCACTAAAAGCCATATTCTAAGTAGTGGTAGAGTCAGAGAAGGCGCAGCATGTACATATATGTTCATTTGCTCGCTTGATCTATGAAACTTTACGTGCTTGTTTCCCTGGGAAGAATATGTCTGTGCTCGCTTCGATCTCTCGGAAGAATATTTCACTTCCACGAGAGTAAAGTATATGGAAGTAGCCACTTGCCATGGTTCGAAGGGGTCTGCGTAGGTGTACATAAACTATCCATCAACAGCATCAGTACGTGCGTACTCCCCGCAATGGGCGTCCCCTGGATTATTTAGTTCACATTAAATCCTGGCGACCTGATGGACACACGTTGTGAACCCCCGGGTCCGGTTACTAACCCAAATCCAGCCTTATTATTAGAGTAGGCATAACTACTAGTACTACTAGTACTACATACTAGTACATGTACATATGTACATGTATTTAGTTAAACTTGCACCAGGTCAGTTAGCTTTACTTACAGACTAACCATGTGAGGCTACTAATGAGATTTTTAACACTCTTGTCTGGGTGTTTGGAATTGATATCGGGGAGATTTTATAAATAAAATGATTCCGAATGATTTATCCGGAGCTCAGAGGTCATCTCATCCCCATTGCTCGCTGCAGCATGTGCCATCATGCGTTCTAAATGACCACACCTACTTGCAATTGTTTATGGTTGAAACGGCTGAGAACTCCAGATCTGAGAAAATACTGTAGGGTAATATGTACCGTAAAAACTAAGAAGTAAAAATTGTGCACAATGCAATAGCTACAGCGTCTAGAGATTATGCAGCACACAACCTGCCGGTAAAAAAGGCCTTGTACGTAAAAACAAGTTATCAAACCTCTACTCATTCCAACCCTCAATCATAAACTCAGTTACAACATCTCTCTCCTCTTTCTTTAGCGGCCTGACTTGATCGTCAAACAATGTCCTCTCTACGTACTTCACCCTCCCATCCTGACCCACAAGTATGATTGTCTGAGTCTGGGTTCCATATTTTCGGTCGCGCCACCATTGAGTTTGAATATTAGCCTTTGCTAGGTCTTCGTCTGTGATTGGAGTCATATCCGCCGGATGTGCATCCACTTTCTCATGGCATGCAGAAAAAGCCGGAATATAAATACTATGCTTCAAAGACTCCATCTGGGTGTGGTAAGACGCACTATCCCTGCTCAGTTTCGGCAAAGTATCAAAACTCAGCACGCCAAATAAACTCTCCAACAACTCCTCTTCGTTTTTTCCTTCTTTGACTGCGGTATCTACAACCTCAGCTAAGATACCTTCCCCTCTCTTCACCTTCGGCCACGGGTCCCCGAATAAAGAATTACTAAGCCCCCATGTCTCTCCTTTCTCGCCGGCTATCCAAGTTGCACCGTTTTCAACCCCGTCGTCTCCGGCCGGCGTACGGTTAGAAATCACAGCAAGTGGTTGGAGAGTTCCGAGTGCGATATCCTTAGGACGGAGGATCCCGCAAAGAAGAGAGAATCCACCGACGCCGTGTAGGTCCCCCGTGGCATGCAGGGAGTGCAGCCATTCGGAAGTGGAGGAATCAGTTGTGGTAGAAGTAAGGAAGGAAGTAACCATAGCACCCCGGGACTTCTCAGCCAGTGCTGCAAGAGAAGTGGGTTCGCGGTAGTTTGTAAGCACTGCGAGACGGCCGGTGCGGGTTATGCCAAGCCATGTACCTGTGGGGTGGGGTTAGCTGATGAATGATTGGAGGGGCATGCCGGTTGAAAAGAAGGGTGAACAGGCGGGGGACGAAGGAGATGCAGAAACGTAGACAAACCTCGTTCAGGACGGGCCAGATCTCGACCCGATAAGATGTGTGAGTTGGGTTCCTCCCAAAAAGCTGCACGCGCGGTAGGACGGTGGAGGAATTCCTATTAGAGAGGGGGAATTGAAATTAGTATTGCTGTGACATGCGCGATTAACTTCGAATCTTGGATAGGTGATATGTGGACGCATGCTGATCTTTCTAATCTTGGATGGGAGGGTGGAAGAAAAAACATACATCTCTATTAGAGAGAAGTATCAAAGAGTATTCTGGATGCGCGGTGGTGACAAGCAGGATACACATTTTATGTGATTATTTTTTTATATGATGGATCAGTTAGGATTGTTGCATATACCTCGCAGGTGAGGTGTTTCTCGTCGTTCTGTATTGTAGGTACTCTACTACGAAGTGTCCTTAGGTAGGGGTTTCGTTTATATGTAGGTCAAATCAAAGACACAATAGTACCGAGGAGGCGTTTTTTAATGGCGGGGTAAAGTGGGTATGTAGGCAAGTTTACGTGGAATGGATAAGTAGATGCGCCTGGGGGATTGGAGGTTTATTTAGCTAGAAGGAGTTGAGAAACCTCATGCCAGCGCAACACGCAACAACCCAAGCAGGAGCATCCTGTCGTATTTTTCTAGCATGAGCATACAAATAATCGGTTCTAATTCCTGTGTTTGTCTGGTATGGAGGCAAAGCTCATGATGCGGCGTGATATTTGCTGGCAACTGGCCAGGATGAGCTGCTGTGGTTGGGTTTAAGGATTTTATTGTTCGGTTTTGGGGGGGGCAAATACTTGTACTGTACACACTGGTCTGCAGGTACAGTTCATATCGCTGAAACCATCAACCGTTGCAGCACTTCTACATATGCGAAGCAGTTGAGCCTCGGGGAAGGACTGTAGTTTTTTGGGCAGTTGGAGAGACTCAAGATGAAGAGTTAACGGGTCTCGGCGGCACTCGGGATATTCTGTGGTAAGGGTAGATACATGTACATATGTATTCTACCGGATCTCACGATTCCTCTCGGGGGTTGAATTGGATATCACACCCTAGCTGTCGAGTGAGTAGGAGTTTGCTCTGTCTCAGGGTGTCCAGGTTCTAGAGTACGGGTGGTAATGGGCCGGGTTGTTGTTGTGGTGGTTAGGGCTGCTCCAGTAGTTGAGTGACAGCATCTGACAGAGAAGAAATCCCTATCCCGCTTTCGTGAACCCCTACACTGGCCGCCTTCGCAGAACTCGGTCTGGGCGGTAAAACATACAGATTCGACTAATCTCTTTCCGGTAACTGCTCTTGACCCCGGCTGATGCGATCACGGGGTTGACGATATTGGACTGGACCATATTCCGAGTGGGACTCTGTGGGAGGTCATGCACAAGAGCCCTTGGAGGTGTGGAGGGGTTTCCCAGACCTCTTTTCTGCTGCTGCTGCTGCTGCTGCTGCTGCTACTGCTGGGTACCCCTCCGCATCCTCCGCGTCTGTACCACATTATTACATTACTATGCTGCTGATGCTGCATATTGTAGCCACAGCTCTGATACAACAACTCACCTAGCTCTTTTTTTTTGTGTCCCCTCTTTTATTAGAAGGTCAACTTCCCCTCTTCCTTCATATATCTTTTCCGGCCCCCCCTCCCATTGATTCTTCCTCTTCCTCCACATCTTCTACCTCCTCAAAGAATCAGTCCTTGTCTACCTTTCTTGACGGAAGTAGCTACAAACACTATTCCAACAGCCCCAAAAGTAGTCATTTACAAAAATTTCTCATTGTTCACATACCTAGTCTAAAATCATGTTTGGCCTTCTATCAAAACTGCTTTCGTGAGTATTGTCCCTCTTATACTAAAACACTGACATCACGCGACCACATAGAGTCCCTACTTTTACTGTGCAATCACTGACGGTTCTGTAAATAGCTCCATCGCAACCTTCCTCTTCCCCGTATTCGCGTCGTACAAGGCCCTCAAAGCAAACGATCCATCACAGCTTACGCCATGGCTGATGTACTGGGTTGTTATTGGAATCATCACCGTGGTTGAGTCATGGACAGGTTGGATCCTGTGCTGGTTAGTTTCTATGTACACTATTTTTGCCTCCCGGGAGCCTAACCAAACCCTCGTTCTAGGCTTCCATTCTACCAAGAGATCCGTGCTGGTTTTATGATGTGGCTAGTCCTTCCACAGTTCCAGGGCGCCACGAGACTTTACGTAGAACATGTCCACCCTACGCTTGAGGCTCACGAGAAGGAGATTGAAGACCTTATCACCCGAACTCACGACCAAGCCAAGGCTGCGGGAATTGACTACATCCGAAAACTTATCCACATGGCCAGGGAGCAGCTGTTTGGACCTTTGCCAGAAGGCTCGGAAGCAAAGATGCAGCCACTCTCCCAAGACGCGGCTTCATTTGTCACAAATTTGTTCTCAAAGTGGAACGTTGCACCAATCGCCTCGGGCGCCCCTCAAAGGGCTACAGAGTTCTACCAATTCCTTTCTTCGGCACTTCAGCAGCAAACCCCAGAGGGAGGGCCAGCTGGAACACCGCACCCCGCAAATACTGCGACTCTGATTCCTGCATCTATCGAAGGGAAGGAAGAAAAGGCACGTTTCATTGAGATGCAGAAGGAGAAATTGAAGACACTCATGGCTGCGCTGGAACAAGAGGCGGAAACAAACCGAGTTTCTGGGGATGCAAGCCACACTAGTGTTGCAGCAGTTCTTGACAATGCGTCTGATGCCAACAAAGCAAATGTTTCGAGGTCACCAAGCTCTGGAAATATGGCTGGTGACTTCGACCATGTAACAATGAGCGATGCCGAGAAGGAGGGCCTTACATTCATTGGCACTCCAAGGACTGGTGGGTGGTTTAGTTGGGGCGGTAAACCAGTAGCAGGCCCCGCCGGCGGCGAGAGGAAAGAACACAACGAGTAGTCTCTCCGACCTTCGTTTGAAGTGTATGATTATTTGTTTGCACTTGATGTGCTGTTCTTACCGCCCCGGTGATTGAGGTTATCCCACTTATTAGGGGAGGCGTACATACATGGTTAGACCTTTTCTTTTGTAGTGGGCGGCCTTATGGGATCGATTGCCTGCGAACCAATCGTTTACTGTATTTTTCTTTTGTACTGCAATGTTCTATGAGTGAAGTGGATATGGTGTTTAGTTGGAAGGACTTGAGGACTCTAAAAAGAAAGGAAGGACACATGTGTGGGTTTGTACTTCATTCGTGCCTTTGCGGTGATTTTTTGTTACTGTAGCTATGTGAGAGCATGTGATTTTCTATTTGCCTCAAGGTTAAGAAGTTCACCGATCAAAGTCAATGCCAGTCAAACGGGCAGTGAGAGGTTGTGAAAGCGTTGATACCGGCTTTTTGTGTGTCACATCTCCGTGGGATACCGGCTATCGTGGCCTTTGTTACGTTACTCGGAGTTGTGGTGCCTTACGTATTGCACTTGTGTGACTTGGGCGACCACTGAATACGTCATCGTGCTTTAAGTTGCGGCTCAACGGGGGATCTGGGCAGGGGTTGTAACGGGAATTGCCGTATTTGACGTGCAGGGGCCACGTCTCGGGATTCATTCGGCATGCCGAGTGTGATAGCTACATGTAATCTCTCTCGGGATAAACTGATATATACGTGTACGTGTTGGCGAGACTACCTTTTCCTAGATTTCCTTGGAGAAGGATAGACAGAATCTCCATGATGTGCGGAAATATTGTAGGCGCCCAACGAACCCAGAATCTATGCACCATCACCAAGCTACAGAATATATCACAGATTGAGCAAGTATGTGAGATTGGTGGTTTTTCCCGTACTACTTAAAGATTCTCAGGCTGCTTAGTACGGATTGACGAGACACCTGATAGAGAAGATATATTGGTTGTATGAGTATGAAGGTGGATATCTTCTGCTTAGATTTTCACAGAGCAACATATACTGTTGCCGTTTTGGTAGCCATGAATTTCACAGAGCGTCAAAAACCATAACCTTATCGATCGGCAGAAAAAGGTGGTATACATGTAATACTCTATTATCTAGCCCGGTGAACTCTCTATCCGTGAACATTCGTAGATAGGGCATTCCTAGAGGGGACGTCGCGGGGTACCTTTGTGAGCGTAAACGTACCTAACAATCTTTATGTACCAGTATATATATATTGACCATGTTGTCCATCTCACTGATTAAAAGGTAGAGATACCATCCTACCAGATATTGTAATCGCACACTACCGCGCTGCGTGCTTTGTAGCAATGACACCAAATAGACCTTTGTACCTGAATGGAGTGCCCTGTCCATGAACGTTGATCCTGGGCAACGAGCTCGTTCGTCGCTGTTTAGATCACTCTATATTTTATTTCGGCTATTTGTCCTCCTAATAATATAGACCAACAATAATAGGAAATTTATGCATCGAAATCAGTAAGACAGATATAAGGTTTACTAGCCGAAACTAATCACGTGGCTGCTACGCCTACTGCTCAAGCCCCATGTCACAAAGTCATACCAGCCCCCAAAAAAGGAAGATCATCTTAGATGATCCTCATATACTGCTGTATCCCCGTCTTCTGAAATGTCCACCGCATATATCCCACCTTCCTCGTTCTACTCCACCTCGTCGTCTTATCTTGCAAGTTTCTAGGTGAATCGCACCGGATAGGTGTCCCTAGAGGTATATCCTTTGTTACTGACGGTGCTTCTCTAGTCATATACATAGCTTCTTCTTCTTCTTTCAGCTGGCTTCCAAATTGAGAATACAATCTTCTTCGTCAATCATGACGAGCGAGTCATTATGAAAGGTTGTTTGGGATAATTGAACTTCAAACCCCGAGCGCCCTCGATCTGGAAAGGTGCTGCTCTTTTCATCACTACAAACTTTGGTGTATCTATGAGTTTGGTCCCTAGGTATATTGATTTTATTGGTTTTGTTGCGGTGGTGGGCGATTGTTGATATTACTGTCGAAATTATATAGAAAATTCTAATATTTGACCCCACAAATATTAGTTTGCATTACCCATCGGAGGCCTCCCCTCCGTCGTTAAATCACTCACAGCACAAACACCTCATCCAGCAACCTTGCTCTTGGAACCAAGCAACCAAATCTTCTGTAATAACTAAACCATTCTCCGATTCCCAAACAATACCCATATATCAGTTCCCCCCTCACCCCTGTGTGGGGGGCGACGCTTCCTCTCTTTAAATCTGCGACGCCAATACCTATACCAATAATCCAAGTGGCTACCATAACAATTGACATATACAGCGTATATACTGGTGGTAAACTGGAATTATGGTACAGCACGAGGTCCAGGGCCGTGTGCACTGCCGTTACAGTAGATATCAGGAGTATCACCATACTGCAATTGGCATGAATCAATTATTGTTTGGGGGACACGATAGTACATATCAAAGGATAACATACGGCAGTACAGCAAACCCCAGCATTAATTCAGCCCCCGTAAGGCAAATCGTAAGTATTGATAGAAAAAGCAGTGCAACAGTAGTAGGTACAGGGTCAATACCGTGCCAGCGGTTATCTCGTTGAAATCGGTTTGCCTCAGACGGGCTCCAAACTGGTGCTTTTTGGACAAAGCATGGAGTTTTTGTGTTTTGCTCAGGGTCCTCGAATGGCGTGGGTTCTAGTCGCATTTCCAACTTCTGTTATTGTACTAAAGCTGTCAATCCAACAAACGAGGGGAATCCCACGTTATTTATTGACCTGCTATATCATCCGTATAGATATATGTTCGAGGATTTATAGGCTAAATCATTTGAGCCAGACAATACCCCTCGGGTAAGTACTGTTTTTTTATATAATAAAACTTGAAGCAGCTTTTTGAAACACAGCTGTGATGGTAACGAATAATCCCCCAGGTTCTACATGGACTCACGAAGTATTATCAAAACTCTTTACCGAAATGTCAATACGAAGAGAAATATCATCACCCCATTCGTATTCAGTGCAACGTTAATCAAATACCTTACTAGGCGTCTTCTGGTGGGCAGCTTGCTGCAAGTAGCGGGCTGGGTATGAGACTAATGCCTTACCAATCCTACGGCCGAGTAATCACATAATTTAACATATGGCCCGTCCTCAGTGCTGTTAGCAGTATATAACTAAATGTACTAGGGCTACAATTATAGCAGTTTTCATATCGTCCGCCGACCCCGAATTGCATACACATTAAGTGACGGCCCGTTTATGCAATGCTTATTGCTAGTAACAGTTAGATTCAACCATACCTAGGAGAGTAATTACAGTTTCCTAACTCGGAAATCACCTTATGTGTGTGTAATTCAGTGCGGACAGATAATACGAAAACTGCTGTAAACATGTGCGCTTACATCTTATCTTCTCCAGCATTGTAGAAAAGAAAGGGGCCAGAAAAGCGATTAAAATATTATCGTGAGCCTTAACGTGCATACCTAGCTATCATAACCAGGCTCCTTCCCTCCCTCCGATCCTTCCTTTTGTCCACCCAGTTTTCCACATCAAAGAACAATCGTTATCATTTCCCAAAGATTTTTTGCCATGCATGCGAAGTCCAATCAAAATGATACAACCCAAACCATATTTGAAAAAAAAAGAAGTTAAAATAATGTAAATCCGAAAGAAAAATTAAAAACAAAACTCATTCAAAATTTACAGCTCGACATGCTCTGGCGCTATTGAAGTAACGGCCGAGGTTACGGCAGACGTGACGGCTGAGCTAACCGCGTTCGGTTTAAAGTTGCCATTCATGAGCTCCTGGAAGGCAATGTCGAATCGCGCACCAAGCATCCAGGCGATACCGACCTATATTAAGTTAATACAAGATACCAGAGGCGGTGATAGGGAAAGGGACGAACCATGATAGCAGATATAACAAATAGAGTTGCAACAATAGCTGCAATTAACAGGAAGATCTCCTTCTTCGCTTCTGCGGCCTGCTCTGGTGTCTCACCAGTTGCTTCCTGCTGCCTGTGGTTTGCAATCTCATCATCCCCCTTGGGAGTAGGGAAGATTGATTCTATGAATTGCTCAACCTAGAGTTCAATCGTCAGCAACTATAAAACTGATTTAGAATAGGAGCCAACAGACCTTTCCGCAAGCTGCGCTAATTTTGAGGAAGTTAGGGTCTTTGGGCGTGTTTTTCTTGTGGATGACCTTCAGGTACTTTCGGAAGACCTCGCACACAGTCCTTAAGTTCCCAACTTCCAGCATCAACTCACATGCCTCCCCTTTTGCAATTTTAACATTTTTGTGATATACGTCCTTGTTCCTGAAAACTAAAGAAAGCGTCGCAATAGCCATGACCTGCGGGATAGCCGCAAAGTTGAATACACTCTGTTCTCGAATACCGGCCAAATAGAAGAGACACTCATCGGCGTGGCTGAGCGCATTCAGACACATTTCAGAGATACAGTTGAGCGCTGCTTCTTCATTCTCGGGCTTAGGAAACTCGCTATAAGTTGCGATATATTTACTCCAGATCTCTTTCGGCCAGAACCTGCGTCCATCTGCAAGGTCTTCTGCGTAATCACGGATAATGTTCGTCTTTTGAAGGAACAGTCCCATCGCGTTTGAAAGATGGGGGCGGTCAAGAAGTGCCTTGTTGGCCTTCTCGGAGGCGACGAAAAGACGGGTCAAACCCTCCCCGACAAGCCCGGCAACGTAGTGACAGTATAGATCATAATCGGCGACGGTGTTGACACCGTTAACGTTGTGTTCAGCGTTGTTGGCATAATCGGCCATACCGTTCCCCATCTTTTTTGTAATGTCCTTGATAATCACCCGGTGAGGCTCGGGTATGAGGGCAAATTCCTTGATCACAACATCGAATTCGACACAAAGCTGCCTATCTTTTTCATTAGGGCCATTGCCTTTGTAATTCCACCCCTGCTTATCGAGAACCTCGTCGAATGATCGTAAAAGAGGCTCCTTCTCTGATAGCGCAATTGTCATGTCATCTTCAATAGTGTCAAGACCACGTAGGATAAGGTAGAAGAGAGCGACCGAAACGCAAAGTTCCGGGCAGAGCTCTTGGATCACCGCGCTGAAGGAACGGGAAGTGAGATCCAGGAATTCGAAGCATCGCTTGAGAGATGGAGATTCCTTTTCTTCATCTCGCTCATGGAGAGGAGTGTGCCAAACTTTCCTAGGTAGATAAAGTTTGGTTAGAGATAGGGACTTTGTTTGGGAAACACAGGTAGAAAGAGATGATAGAAGAAATATAAATGATAAGTCAAGCCAGAAAGAAAGGGGCGATAAGGATTCTCACCATTGAATGATTGCCCTCAACTGATTGGGGTGGCAAGCATAGTGCAGGAGAGTCGACGTCTTCACCATTGTTGAATTTGATGTTTCTATGGGTGAGAAGGAATTTGGTGGAGGCGGTGAAGTAGCAAAGGGAGAGAAGTCGGCGGACGGGAGAGTTTTCATAATATTATTTCCCGGAGAAGGGAAAGGGAAAGGGGAGAGGTTTACAAAAGAGGAATAGCTGGGGGACCTGCTTGGTGGAGCCTTTTGGTTGGACGGGGAGGTAGGAGCTGCAGGGGTTCTGAGACAGGGTGATATGTCTGGAGTTATGTACGGATAGTGGCAGGTTATATAAGTGTTTCGTGAGGATATAGGAGACTCTATTCGAACAGCAATCGAATCGACACAATGATAATGACGATATTGATATTGTTTTTGTTGAACAAAAGTGTGGTGTTGAGGAGAGTCAAGTCAACCATCAAGACTCACGGTACTGTAGATGGATGAACAGTTATGTACTCTAGATAGTAAGTTCTGGGTAAACAAAACAAGTTTACAATGTTAAAATATACGGCGCAGCAACTACATGTATGTAACATCAAGATAACCGTCGTCAGCCTCTTCTTCATCAGCAAGAAGGGCGTTTCTTCTATCGGAATAGCCGACCTGCCCCGGAATTCATCCCACATGACCTAACGCCAACCGGGTAAACAAAACCTTCTCCGCACTCGGTCAGGATACATATGCCAGATCATGATTATCACTCGTTTGATTTCTACTCGCGTGCACAATCTGCTCAATTTTACATTTATCCGTACACGCCACCTTAGTTACATGTAGTCAATACTAAGCTAATTGCATACATATAATCGGTTAGAATGTGTATAAGTAATTGGAGCCTTGCCTACATGTAGCTACAGCTCGTCTTTTTTCTTTTTTTTTGCATGTTCTTCTGAGATACTTACCTACTCGTAGCTTCATAGCGTTTCCGAACACGACCAATATTGCATGACATACAAAAAGGTGGATTTGGCGCTTTTTTGTATGGTATGCAATAGCAGTCGTGTCCGGAAACGTCATTTTACAAGTATATTTCTTTCTTCAAGTGCATAAATATGCGTATGTAGTTCAATGTGTACATGTAGGTAATTATATCGAAAAGCTTTTGTACCTACATGTACTCAAAACTTGAGGTTGCTAGTAAATGGACACAATGACCATCATAGCACATCACTCGCACAACGAATATATCCCACTGTTAGAAACTAACTCGTTTTCCTGCTTCATATAACTCGACTATTCATTTGTTTCCATCTACTATAACAGTATTGTGTCGACACCATAGTGACTAATAGTGATTAATAGTGACAACTGTATGTTTTCTCCTAGGCTCGGAAGCCATATTTCAACACTCAGAAAAAGAACATTACGTTTTCCTCACAGTATTACGGACTATGTACGTACAGTTTTGAGAAACATAGGAAAGTACTGCACTTTCTATTACTAGCTGGTACCGGGGCGCGGAACACTTAATGTTGGGATTCGCAGAGCTTAATGCCAGCATTTGCTGATATTTCCCCTCATGAGAGCGTATATCCTAGGTATTGTGGGTTGTCAAAAATAATGGGACGCAACAGGCTTCATTGCAACGTAATAATCTCTCAACCATGACCGACCACAAAGAGACCACAAACAGGATAAGTGATAATAAGAACTACTGGAGACCCAAAATGTATTTTCGTTAGTATTGTCGTTCGTTGGTGGCGGGGGTTGGGTTGTCGTTGCTGTATTCGTTGCCCCGTTGCGTCCCATTATTTTTTGACAACCCGCAATACGTAGGCAATCAATCTAGGCTTTTACGTTCTATGTGTTAAGTCGTTCGGCTGGGCCTAATATTATGATAACAGCTGTAAGTACATGTGGTGCTCTAGCGTCAGGATACATAATATGGGATGTGCTTCATATCCTTGTTGGTTAAATGCCATCCCAGTCGCAAACACTACCAGTGATTATTGGCCGTGGTCTTATTTTTCACTTACGATGCATTTTGCTAAATAATATAATTCTCATTTTTTTTCCGGTGGAAAGTCGTTGGTCCCAGTTAATTAGCTATTTTAATATTACAGCAAGTTTCATAAGCTACATGTAGGCTCAGAAAGCGTTCTCAACTCATAGTACAATTCTCGAAAGATAGCCTATATAAGCTATCTGGGCAGTTGAAATTACCTTCTCGGGAGAATATCGGGCTCGGGCTTCCTAAGTAGGCTATTATTTAAAGAATCACACTATGTGTGAATGTATGTAATTTGAGCCTAGTATTATGGAACTTGCTGTAAAGAAATATTTATTTGTATTACTTATATATGTAGCCCTAGGACGGCGGTATATCGGGGGTAAGGGTACATACATGTAGGTAGAATGTGCTATCAGAGTTTCTTAGTTGTTAGGCGGTGGCTTTTAGGGGTTAACTACTTAGACAATATTAACAATCACCACTATATATTATATATTTGGTCAAATTCCGGTAGGCATTGGCCAACCGGGTACGTAGAAGATCACAGTGACTGTTTGTCAAATTTCAGAAAGCATTGATCAATAGGCAATATCTATCAACAAGACGGCTAGTTAGGCAATGGGCCGGCCTATTGGTTAATGTGATATACTCGTGACTGGGGCGGAACATATGCATCTAATAAACCGTCAGCTCAGGATAGCTCGATCGACTTAGTAGCTCCCTCTCAATTAATTGCGATCAATCCCTCTCAGTTAAGATACCCGTACTCTAGTTAACTCTGATTCCTGAGCACCACACCTAAATTTGAAGCTAAGAAATTTGCAATCATGCACTTTGAAGACGAATGAAGTGAAGATGCCCGAAAATCCCCCAAATGGATAATCAAGTGGAGATGTCTTTTAAAATGGTACAAGAAAAACTCCCACTAATCGCCAATCTCCCGGCCCGTAAACCCTCCTATAACTCTTTCTATGTCCCCTAGCCCCCCGTCTTGATTTCTAATGCAGCATGCGCATCATACCGGAACACTTTCTAAATCCATAATCGTAAAGTATACTACAGAACAGACGAAGGAGAACCTCTATCGAGATGCACAAAAACCAACAATGATCGTGATAACACAAATACAACACAAAAAATTTAACGCCGGGAGCATACAAACACCAGAAAGAAACCTCCCGCCCATGCCCGCCGCTTGAACCCTTCCCTTATTTTTTAGAACCTGCGTGTATACCCCCTATCTGTTTGACCACCAGATCCCCACTGGCGGTTGGGCTGCCTCTTTGGAACATCACACTCAAGAACCTATTTGTTACAATGTTAGATTGGTCCGTAGAACCCGTATTAAGATACAAAAGCATACCTCTACTAGCCCTTTTGCGAAAGTCTCACGAGCCGGATCATCGGCTAAAAATCCACTCCTATCGTTACCTCTCTTGGAAAGACTACGGAATGCATGTGCAAGCAGCTAAGGATATATAAATTAGCTTCGATTTTCATGTTGTGACTCGGAAAGGTTCTTACCCTATCCAATAGCCCCCTAAAATCATGTGTAATCTTCGCAGTTTGTGTAGGCGCCAAGAATGGAAGCCAAGAATCGATCTCCAAGTTGTTTCCGTAATTCGTCAATTTCCCGCCAAAGAGCATTGCCGCCAGAGGTGAACTTTCAGTGACAGTACGAAGGAGCAAGGTTGATCCATCATTGCTCCTAGCCTTGGCTGAATAGGTAACAAGGGTTCCAAACGGTAATTGATCGTCTGCTCTGTTACCGTAGTGTACAGATGTTGGATGAATCATAGTGAAATTCTCATTCGCAGTCCGGAACCCTCTTCCGCCAGTATTGATACCCAAGTTAGGGTACATGCCAGCCAAAGTGAGGGCCTTGATGAGTGGTACACAGTTGGAGTTATCGTTCAAGCGTGCATGCCCAATTTCTGATTGGTAACGCTGACCCTTCCTAGTGAATGGAATGATACTTGCCTGAACCAAGATCTCCTCGATTTGTTCAGCAGTCTGCTCAAGAGTCCTCAGAGCACCTTTATGGAGGAAATTGTCATCTGCGAATCTGCTCGCCGCGTATTGACCGTTCTGATCACGAATCCACCTCCATTCACGGAAAGCATTGACCATAGCCATGTGGTCACTACCCGTACCGCGAACAAAAGCGTGCTTTGCACGGTTGGCATCTTGTCGTTTTTCTGGAGGGCTGACGAATAGATCTCTAGCAGCTGTAGAAGCGCCCAGGATTATGATCGGGTCAAGACAACGGAAAATGACAGCGAGCAAGATCATCTTTCCAAGTGCGGGCTCAACAGGCATGGTGGCCAATACACGCCCTAGAGGCGTCAGGCGTTCGTTATCAGTCAAGGCACCAAGTGTCATCAATTGATTGAGTGAAGCATCAATGACGTTTGGAGTAGGTGCTTCTATAGCCTCAGACAAAAACTGCTTAACTGGGTCGGTAAAGCCTTGCGCCTTGATGTCTAAACAAATTTCCTGAAGATCTGATCTCAACATTTCCGGCAATCCTGTGGCACGCATCGACTCGAATCTATTCCTAGAGAACAATGCCCAATAGTTTCCGTTCTGAACCCGACCGGCTCTTCCAGCTCTTTGCTTCGAGTTCGATTTACTGATCCAAGTGCATACAAGTTGAGTGATTCTTCGTGCCTGCTCGTATTGCTTCTCCCTCATCTTTCCACTATCGATAACATATCTGACATCTGGAATGGTGACGGAAGTTTCCGCAATGTTGGTGGAAAGGATAACCTTGCGACAGCCCTCTGGAACATCATCAAATACTTCATTTTGATTAGGGATAGAAGAATGAAGTAGGCAGAGCTTGAATTTGCTCGCATCATTGAAATCAACACCAAGTGGTTTTCGAGTTCGAAGGGCTTCATCAAGTCCCGTAATTTCCTCCAGACCAGGCAAGAATACCAACATGGCGCCTTCGGTAGTTGACTTTGCGATATGAGCTACAGTGGTTGCGATGAGGCCGATTGGAACAATGGCATCCTGCTTCTCGTTTGAAACAACCGCTTGACCATCAACACCAAGCTTAACTTCTTGTTTCCAATTAATAGTAGTGGAATTGTCCACCGCGTCGTCGTCCTCAGGAACCTCTTCTCGTGTGGAAGCAGCTCTAGATGGAGCCCTGGATGGAACTCTCGAAGCAAGCCTAGACGCAGGGGCGGAGGCTGAAAGGTTGCCTTCAATTCCGAGATACTCCCTCGAATCGGGCTCATTAAGCATAAACAACTCGGCGGGTGAATGTGACTCTTTGAGGATTCCCCTGATGTCTTCAAGGTACATTTCTTTGACAGGGAAAGTACGTCCAGGAACACTAAGATCAGGGCAGGGTACAAGATGATTATGCTCGTTCCTTTCCGCGAAGTAATTGGAAAAGAGGTCTGTGTCCATTGTGGCACTCATAAGCACAACCTTGACATTAGGCTTCCCAAGGATTTTTCTCTCTTTCAACACTCGCTTCAAAATAATTAGCAAAAAGTCGATGAGAATATCGCGCTCGTGGACTTCATCAATAACGAGATGGGTAACACCCTCTAATGCTTCATCGGCAGAGTTTCTAAGCTGTTGAAGGAGGATACCAGTCGTGCAGTAAGTGATGCTTCCGCCAGCAGAAGGTAGCTTTGAATCGAATCGGACGTGGTAACCAACAGATTTTTGAAGAGATTCGTTTCGCTCTACTGCAACACGTTGTGCCACAGAGGTGGCAGCAATCCGCCTAGGTTGAGTACAGATGATGTTGCATTCAGCACCCCTCCCTTCCTTAATCGCCTTCTCGAGCAAAATCTGAGGTACCTGGGCTATAACGGGTTAATAAGTTTTTAAGATGAAAGGTGATTGATTGAGACTTACTCGTCTTTCCAGATCCAGTGGCACCAACAATAATGCTAACGGGGTGGTTTTCAACAATATCCAGAACCTTGGACTGGTATTGGTTCATCGGTAGCTCCTCGCGCTTTTGCCTCAGAGTAGTCAATGCAGGATCATTGAGATACTTCTCGTAATCCTCCTGCAGCTTGATATTTTTAACTGCCACGAATGCCTTATCTAAACGCCTCCACGGGTTCATCCTCCTACCCTTCTCCTCCTTGGCCTCCATCATGTCCTCTTCCTCTTCAGACGGGGGAAGTCCGACCCGCCTAACACCCATCAGAGTATCAGTCATAGCCATCACCGAGTCATTTTCCATATTTATCCATGCGGGAGTAATCGGCTTCAGAAGTTCTCCGTTTCCAAGCCTAAGAGCCTCCAAAAATTTCGGAAATATTCCTGGCTCTCTTTTCTTCAATTCCACAGCACCAGTTAGATAAGCCGCAGTATCTGCTGTCTTTTTACTGTGCATTTCCACTGGCTCTCCTAGCGGTTCGTTATTGAGCATCATCTGCCCAAGGAAGTAGCCAGCTTTCAGTCGTTTAGTTCCTCCCGAAACCTGTTTTATAGTACAATCGTATGTGACGCCTCGGTTATGCATCTTGTAAAATTCGAAAAACTTTCTCGCGTTACGAGTGCTAAGAGCTAATAGATCTTTAACAACAATTGTCGATTCGCCGTGCTTAGCGTGATATTCCTCAGCCTGCTTCTTGAACTCCACACATGCCAAAATCTCCGCGACCTTTTTATCAGCAGCGCGGGCAGAGGCCTGAATATTCTGTTCCGGCATCTCTACAGTGCACTCAACTAGTGGCCTTCGGTTTCCCGGTCGTTGGGTTTCACGAAAAATGAACATTGGAACGGCATCGAAACGCGCACAGTAATCGTAGATATCCATTTTCGCGTCGGATTCATCGTTTAACAAAGCCTGGTCAAAAGCGGCCTCATGGGAACCTTGGTAGATAATGTCTTTGAGCAAGCCGTTGGAATGAAGCTTAAGAACACAATGCTGGCAAGCGATTTTTTCCGAATTTTTCTGAAGTGAAGAGAAATATCAGCATCCAATTAACAATGGACAGAGAGTCCTGAACAAACCTTATGAGAATGATCTCCAACGGCCTCAATTTTTTGACCATTTGGAAGTGTGACGATAACTGTACACCTATAAAGCCCACCCTTCTGGGTTAAGAATGCAGATTTTGCCGATAATGTCTTGAAATCCCATAAAAATGCCTTTGGGTTATTAAATAGTGCCTTCGGTGCCTTCTTATAATCATCCTCTTTTAAGGCCTCGAAATTCTTCTCTAAATAAGCTTCATCGACTAGTTCCCTTGGCCTCACGTCTCGAGACTTCATATGGCCCGAGGACTTCGATTGGGGCCATTCATTGTGCACCCGATCACCTCCTCTCCCGGCTCCTCTTGGAGGTGATCGCTCTCGCCCCTGTGTTTTGAACCCCCCCCTATTATTTCGCTGAACTGGTCCTCTAGAGTTGTTCCCGCCAGATTTCGACCCCTGCGGCTGGAATAGAGAATTGTGGGTAGATCTGTTGTCCCTGTTGTTATTTCCTCCTCTTCCGGCCGGATTCCTCCAGCTCCTATCAAGATCTCTACCGTTTCCCACGGGGCCAAGCCCATCGTACTGCGTCCACGCCTCCTCGCCCGATGGAGCGTAAAAATTGCTTGCGGGTCGGACTGGAGCAGGAAGGACACCAGGCCTTGAGCTTGCGCGCCAGGAACTAACGGGAGACTGGGTGGCGAACCTGGAAGCATTTTGTTGTTGTTGCATGATGTACCGCAAATGGAAGCTCTGTAAAAAAGTTGCGTGAAAAAATATCAGAAATCAAACGCCACTTGAAGAGTTTTTGGTAGTAGTTGATGACTGTAGGGTAAAGAACAGGGTATATTAAATGCTGTATGGTTTTCTAAACGTCGTAGAAGTACAAAGGGAGATGTAGTACAGTGAAGAGAGGGAATAGGAGAAAAATGTGAGGTGGTTGAAGTGTACGTGGAAGGGATTCCAGGAACAGGAAATCCGGGGCAAAGGGGGCAGTGACCTACCGACAGACGCCTCATGTCGCGATAGAATGATATCCCACTTGGGCCGCCTCTGGTGAGAGCAAGGTTTCACAATGCACACAAGCAAATGATGGTTACTTTAATCGAACGGCCCTAACAACAAGACCGCAATAAAGAGAAGAGTGTTGAAAGGTTGGCTTTGGAGGGGGCAATCCACAGCGTTTATCATGGTGTTTCGAGCCAGAGCCTTCCAATTTTTTTTTCTCTCGGGAGTTCCCCGCCCTAGTCCATTTGGGGGAATAGAAAATGGGTCTTGGCAGAAGTCGATTTTGTTTTCACCAGGGCACAGGGCCTACTCAGAAAGAGAGTTGGCAACGGTTTCGTTCACAGCCCGGCACTCGTCGACGCACACACGCGAAGTAGGCACATGTACATATGTGCATACATGTACCCAGGGGTGCCGGAAAGTGATGCAACGACTCAATTTACTACTCACGATTTCAACCACATGCAACCCAACTTTGACTTTAACGAAGCAGCGATATATAGTATATAAAGTAAAGAGAGTATGAAGAATTCATCAATCACATCAAAATGAAAGAAATTACATGTAAGGTGGTTGCGAATTCACTAAGACCTCACCCTATATTTCCAAGCCGTTGCATCACTTTTGGGTACCCCTGGGTACCCCTGGGTACATGTAGTGATGCCCCGTCCTACATTTATGTATCTGTGTCTACAATGGATGCCACTACCACCGTATTACAGTACCAAAAAAGCGGGTGGATCCAGTACCATATCTGGCAAAATACCGTAGTGTTACGGTATTGTTGCGGTATTGCTACGGTATAATATTTAGGATTCCGATTTAATTCGGAAGTCTTGCACAATTCCGTATTGGTACAGTACCTATTACATCCCCATTTTTCGTACTTTACCCCTCCTTACGAGTATACATGCATACAAGTACTCTATTACTCCCCAACGCTACACCATATCCAGATATTTAATCAGCCCATGCATCATACCCCATAATTATCCCAGGCATTAAAATAATAATTATACAACTTTGAACAGAGAGAATAGTGTCCAATTGAACCCTCTACCATCGCGGCGCCTATGCTGCAAAACTAAAAATACTCTCCATAGAAACCCACTGTCTCCCACACTTCTCTAAATATCTCTGAACTGCTTCTGATATAATCTTAAACCTCATCCTATTCTTTTCCGCCAACACATGAAGGGTCTCTGTTATATCATTAGTCTTGATCTCCATCTAGTGGAGAAAGGTGGCAAACCGTTCTTATCAACTTCGACCCCTTCCTTTGCCTTATCCACATCAAACACACTCGAAAAGTACAGCAGTTGATTATACAGCATCTTATCTGTATACTCGTAACTCATAACTCCTCTGCACCCGCTTGCATGGCCTTTGGGCCCCAAACACCTTTTACCATACACACTCATTTGACGTGTACGATTACCGCATTGTGTGTCGTCGCATACCAACCATGCATCGTAGTATTTGGTTGTCAATGATCGTATTTGATACTCAAGCTGCGCAACCACACTCGTAACAGTGACAAGTTTCCCACAAGAAGTATTCGCGCATGTAATTCCGTCCGTCGAAACCAGGTTCTGAGAGTTAAGGAGTCCCTCAAATTCAAATGACACTTTACATGAACGGCACCGAAGACTCAGTTTTGCCGCGTTCTTAAATCGTTCTTTATCTGGAATCGTAGACTCCAACGGATGGATTTCACGCTCCTCCTGCCGAGCAGAATTGACGATTTGGTATTTCTTCGTATCAAGCCCTAGGCACTCGGCTAATCTCATGGCGTCTGTGCCATCAATTGGCCCACATAGACGTTCAATGGGTGGGAAAATCTGCTTAAGAAGGTACCATTCTGGGTCAGGCTTCAGACCAGAGTCGGACTTCTGGACATCCTGAATCGAGTACGCCCTTTCCGCGGGATTCTTGTCATGCCCTTCTCCATCACCCGTGATAACGTATGATATAACATCTCCGCTCTTGACAGGTTCCCCTCGCGCTTTCTTTCTTAGGGCTACCTGAACCTGTGGCATCGTCTTTCCGTGGGGATAATCTTCAGGATTCTTTCCAAGCTTGGTGTAGATGATGTACTTCATGATTGGGAATTTAGCCCCCCTGATTTTTGCTGCAAGATCACGGAGGTAATCGTGAATTTTCTCCACAACAATCTCCGTTTCATCCCCCGAAAATATTTCGTTCAAGATATGTCTATCTCCTCATTAGTATCAGGCCACTCCATTTTTAAGTCAGATGAACTTACGAGGAAACCTCTTTTGACAGTTGACAGAATTCTCGTCTTCGCATATCCAATCCCTTTACCTCCAGTTTCGTATCAAGCTTCCCGTTGATTTCCACGTAATTAATAGCTGCATACTTCTTCTTCGCATGTAGTAACAGTCTTTGGAAGATGTTGTCAATATCGATCTCTAGCAGCCTGTACCGTTCATTGACCTTCTTTTTAAACTCGTTTCCGATTTTTATGGCATCACTATAATTGTCTACGTTGGTATTGATCATGACGGAGTCAGTATCACCATAAATAACTCGCAGCGACATTGACTCTGCCAGTTCCTTTGTTGCACGTAAAATCTCACGACCCTTGAATGTGGTGAGCATGGCTAGGGGACGTGCATAAAACCGTGAGCGGGTATAACCCAGACAACCGTACATAGAGTTGGCCGTCAATTTTAGTGCTTGTTGTTTGATATCCCACTATTCTCTAGTCAGCTATATCCTCTGCGGCCAACGCCAGAAAACAAACCTGTGACTTCTGCACCGCTGTGGCGCCTTTATCCTTCATTAAATTTTTGACCTGCCGTCTCCTTTGCACCAATGTACTAATCAACTTCGGTAAAATTCCCAACGCTTGTTCCTCTGGGACTTCGGGAACCTTATCCTCATCATCATCATTCCTCTCGGCGGTGGTGAAACAGATGTTGTATTCCTGGATGATGCTAGGGTATAGTGAGTTGAAGTCCATGACCAAGATAAATTTGTCGTACAGCCCTTTCTCAGGCTCAAAAACCAGACCGCCCTTGTATTTATCCTTCTTTTTTTCGGGGGCGGCTTCTTCTGCATCTACACCTCCTTCTTCATCGGCTTTGGTGGCTTTGTTACCCTTGCTAGAGTCTTTATCGGGACAGACGAATTTGTTGCGGTGGAATTCATGGAGAAGAATGTACTCGTTTCGTTCTGCACGGGTTCCACTAAGTGTACGGGCCCATGAGTTACCAGCGAGGTTAGTGAGTTGTTTAGTAAGTGGTAACATTTGGATCTTGAGTGCAACAGCCGCAATGAAGTATGTATCCGCCTCACAGTGTAGCACGTAATCAAGCAATCCTTCCCCGTTTGATGCCCAAGTCCTAAGTGCCTCCTCGTTATCCAGTTCCTGCCGTTTCTCTGAAAGAACAAGCTCACAAATCTCGGTAAGACTCCAAGACTGGCATTTAATAAGAAGTGATTTTCCAAGGTCATTCGCAAGATCACACATCAATCGCCCTGAGACAAGTTGCCGTTCTGCGAAAAAGCTCCCTGCCATTTTCCCTCCATATTGCGGCCAGGACATTCTCTTCATTCTTCCAATTCTGTGCCAATTTGGAGTTTTTCGCTCTTTCATGCGATGCAGGAGAATGCTATAATCCACACTCTCAAGCTGATGTCCTATTAACACATCCGGGTCGGCCTGCTGTAGTTTTGCCAAGAATGAAGAGAGTAACATATTCTCGGTCTTTTCCTGTCTAATCGTTCCCCGGTGTCGCTCTGCAGCTTTCTCGAATCCATGGGGGAAAATTTGGTTAATAGGCCTGACTATCGAGAAAGTCTGACATGGTAGTGTCTCCGGCGATGCAGCATCAGTAAGACTGACGTTTTCGTAAATTCTACAAGAGATAGCAATAATCTCTTGCTTGTTCTCCTTTACATTCATATGTGTCCTTAAAGCGATACTCATGAGTGTGAGTGGGGGTGGCTCTGAAGAATCATCGCCCAAAACCGTGATTTGCGTGGGTTTCTCGACTTGGACTTCTAGTTTGCACCACGACGCATTCTGAACAGCGCTGAAGTCCCCACCTTCAACTCTGAGCCAACAGGGCCCCATTACGTTTCTGCAGAGGACAAACTGTTCAAATAGTGAGGTATTGGTACCGAAAACGTGTGAGAAGGTGTTGCCCTTAAGCTTCTGTGGCAGTGCCGGTTGATTATATGGATATTGAACTTTGAGGTAATCACCTTCCCTTGGGATCCCAGCAAGTTCGAATGCATATTTTCGGGAAGTGGATTTAGACCTATATTCTGTGATGCGATTTTTGTCTAATATTGAAGTGACTTCGTCGTAAACATCAGTCATTTCGATCTCTTCGTTATCTTTTGGTAAAAAGAACAGACTCCTTTGAATCCCATCAATCTTCAAGAACGCGCTGACATATTTATTGGTCCCTTTATCCATGACTTTTCCAAAAAGACATAGGGACCCCAAAACTTCTGTGTAATCCAGCCAAAATATCTTCAAACTTCCATCCTCCTCTAAAACATCTTCAGTCGCTAACTTCCCGTATTTGGTATTCTCCACTTGCGGTGAGCTCATAACATTCAAGCTCCCTGCCAAATTCTTCCACGCAGACGAATCAATAGCAATCGGCTTCCGTGGAGTGCTAGCCGTATGTTGCGGCTCTGGAACCCTCATGAGCGAAGGCCTCGAAGCCGATATATTTATCGCTTCTGATTTAGCCCCTTTGTTCCCCTTTATTTCCGCAATCGCGAGGTAATCATCATCGGAGTCTTCTTCTTCTTCTTGTTTAAAAGTAACTTTTTTTTGCTGTTTTGTGCCTGCCAGAGGAGAAGAAGGCGGGATCTGGGCGTCGGACATGAGTATATCGTCATCGACGATGGGGGCGCCATATTCATCGTCCTCATCGTCAAATACACGCATTGCAGGGGGGGAGCTCGGGATAGAAGGTCTCGTGTCATTATTGGCAGATTTGTTGAGGCCAGAGGGTTTCTTCCTGTCTCCTAAAGCGGGGGAGAGGCGGCGGGTTTTACGAGTCGAGGGCTCCTCTCGGGTGCGTTTAGAGGATGATATATTGTTAGGAAGTTCACTATTAAATTCTTCGAGCAGAGAGTCCATGAAGTCTTTATCCTCTTCTGTAGCTATTGGCTGTGCCATAGCGTGCTGATTAGCAAAATAGACACAGATGGGTACAAGAGTTCCGCCGCTACATACCTTCTTTGACTTGACAGATGGCACAACATTTGCAGAACTGAAGTATTTAGTGATATCCTTATCTCTCTCCATCTTTCTCTTTGCTTCATCCTCACGCTTCTTCTTTGCGCTCTTGCCTTTTCCCTTCTTCCCAGCCTCCTCATCACTTTCCTCATCATAGCTCCTTTCCCTTCTCCCCTCATCTCCCCAATCATCCATACCATTATCCATGTATCCCTCGCCATTGTCGTCGACGACAAAGTCATCCTGTGCCAGCCTGTCGCGGACGACTTTCTTATACTCATCGTCGTCGACCACCCGATATAGATCCTCTTCCTCCTCAACCTCATATGTAGAGAGGCGTGTTTTACCCGATTTCTTGAGCTCACGAAGTTCAGCAAATTTCTCGTGTGGGGTGCGTTTTGTGCCACTACGGCGGGAGCGCTCCATCTTTGCGTGTTGGACGGAACGCAGTCGTAAGGTCGTAGAGCGGATATCCGGGCCTGACTCTGTTCCACTTCAATAGAGATCACGGAGGTTATTTTGAAATATCGTGCGTGTCTAATTAAGTGAGTTTGTGGTTGAGTTATTTAGAATCATTCAACTGTTGCCTGGAGTGGTGTCCGGGTTGAAAACAAAATTCGCGTTCCCTTAACCCACGCGTAGGAAGAACACGTCCCCTGCCAAGAGCTTAGCTATTTACTTTAGATAAGATTGTGACCCCGATAACGGTCATAAATACATGTAATCAACTCCAAAATGTCCCGCTAAGCAGAACCGCCGGGAAATAAATCAACGGCAAAAATTATTAGTATTACAGCCCCATTTACTACTAAGAGCAGTTGTGGCCCAAACAAAACATTGATAGATGTCTGTTTTGTAAATTCGTGGGGTCAATGATACGTGGTTCACTTTTGAAGTGATCATGGGTAAAACAGAGAAAAATCTATTTACTGACATCATACACCCTTTAACTCAAAAGAAAAAGAAAAAGTCGGACATATACAACCCGGAATAAAGCTATGGGAAAATAAAAGTACCCTATTATCCTAGTAGAAGAAATCCAATATTATAGCAATACTAGAACAAAAAAGTAACATATTGAGATTTTAAAATAGCACTCCTCTTCCCATTCAACAAGTTCGTAGCCCGCAATCATCCACCCCACGCCGCGAATAACCTAGCGTTAATAATAATGATAATAAAAAGAAGTCCCAATTACATTTGGAGTCAAAAAAGGAGGAAAAAAAGGGTATTTCATTAGTACCAAATCCCGATGCGATGCGGTGCCGATGCGAGAGAGTAAGGAAAGAACTCCAGAGTAAAAAAAAGTAAAAAAAAAAAGGTGTACCCAGGACTCATAATACCCCCACAGTAAAATAGCGATTCGAGGGTTGAGCTTCCGGGTATAATTCTTCGAGCTAAAGCAATAATCCATTCACATACTGTGTTTTACAACACACCTGCCACAAACCATGTGAAACTCAAAGCAGTGACCAATCCCATACCGACAAGAAAGCCAAGCGCCCTCATGTCCATGGTACTTGCAGAATTGGGGTCACAGGTGGCACATTCAAAGCCTGAGAGAATTCTGTCAGTGTGATGTATAAGAGGTGAGATGAGCAAATGAAAAGAATTACATACTGGCAAGAGGAACAGCAGGCTTAGGAGTGTACATCCCGAAGGTAAGTCCTGAATATGGCCCTAAATGTCCTGGAGAGGCGACTGCAGTAGGAGCATATGCATTGTCATAAATAAAGAGGGTGTAGGTTGCGCTACCATTACCAAAATATTAATCCACCAATATGTCAACCTCATATGATAGGGCACTTACACAGGGAGCTTCGACAAAGCTGAACTCTGATATGCTTCAGTGTCCCAAATGGCTTCCGTTGTATCCGCACTCGCGTTCATCATAATGGGAAAGTACTGTGCACCGTCGGTACAGTATGCCTGAACGTTTATCGCAGTCGGGGCGACCTGAAGACTGGTATAATTCCAGACGAATGTAACAGGGTCACCAATCTTATAGATCTGGTATCCATCATACACACCCGGAGTTTTCATAGCCACACCACCTGCTTGCGCATCTGCTGAGATCTTCTTTGTTTTGGTAGAGGATGATTTTCCTGACGCCTTGGCTGTAGTCGAAGGGGCGACAGTGATAGTCGAGCCATTTTTATCGGTTGTTGTCACAGGATCTGCTTCTTCTGTTGCGGAAGCGTTGCTCTGTTCAGTGGTGTCTACGGGGGTTTCATCGACATCGCCTTGCACCACATCTCCTGAGCCGGCAGTAGGGGCTCCACTGGCCGCGGTTGTAGTAGCTATGGTAAACAGATTAGGATAAAGTGTTGGTAAACAAAGAACCAAGTCAACGATGGGCTCAAAAACACACCTTGTCGAGGCATCAACGCATTTGGAACAGATGCATCTGGGTGAGCTGACGCCGACAGGGCTACGAACGAGAATGCGAGGCCGAAAATTAATTGGAAATTTCGCATGTTGAACGATGGCACGGATAGGATTCAGGTTGATTTTGTTCGTATGGAAACTCCCCTACCCAGAATGAATATCAAGGGGGTAATTAACGCGATGAGAAGACAAAAGCGAGAGTGAGTGTGAGAACGAGACTAAGGGTGGGAGAGGAGAAAAGCGACTGTCAGGTAAGTGAAGAATGTAACCGTCTGTCAGTCAAATCCCCTGCGTTTCCAAGACTGGAGAAGCCGGGACGGGATTCAGGTGGCAGAGTAGGCAAAAAAAAATCCCGATTTGACTTTTACCCACAGTAATTGTTCACGGGTATCAAAACAACGAAACGAGTGAAAATAAACAGAACAACAAAAGATCGATCAATCAAACAAGCGAGCTGAAGGACTGGAAGAGAGATCACAGGCAGAGGAAAGTGACAGACAGAGAAAGGAGGGGGATCAATGCAACCAACGAATAAGAAAGCAAGAGAAGTGCCTGTCCTGGAAAGAGCTTCCCTGAGACCCTGGAAGCACGGGAGGACGCTGCACACAGGTACTGATCGCTTTAAGCCAGTTTTTCGCTGCCAGGGGTTACTTGGGCTATTTTTAGGCTTCCGTGATCCGTACTGTGTAGGTACAAGAAAAGCAAAATACGAAGCTGACAACGACAAGACACATCTTTAAGATCATGAGATAAACATGACAATTCCTATCGGCAGTGTGAGCTGGAGTCTTGGTTACATGTACTTTTCTCCCCAAAGCTACATGTATGCGAACTAGATGAGATCGCTTTGGTTCGAATTTGGCATATCAAACCACAACATTGATGTCACAAGGTCAACAGGAAGAACTTATTATCGAGAATGTGTGAAGAAAAAAACGAAATGATCATTTCTACATAGTATCCCTTGCGGGATTTGTTTTTAAAATTTTTTAAGATAAAATAGATGTAATACTATAAAAACATGAGGACATTTTGTATTCGCTCCTCATCACATAAACTCTTTTTTTAGGCTCCAAGTTCTGTCTTGTTTCTTTAGTATTGCTATTTCCTTCAACATGTGCCTGAATTCGTCCATCCTCTGCTTGTCTCCAGCTTCAATCGCCCCTTTTGCAAATTCAGAGATTTCTACAGAGGTCGCATTCCCATCATTATCTCTCATATACTTTCGCAGCCTCGTAATCAATCCATCCTCCTTTTGGTGATACTGCCGCGGCGATGGAATAATGGGGTTTACACTGGAGTTTCTACTTCCAGACCTTGAATTTGAGTTAGAGCTGGTGCCACCACCGCTAGTAGCGTTATTTCTTCTCCGCATAGTAGCCAACAGACCCGCTGCTGTAGGGATGACAGGTAATTCGTTATTTTCCTCCTTTCCAGCACTACCAAATTTCCCAGTCCACGTTACAGTTCCAATAGATGCGACTTGGGTTGTCCTGATAGATTCACGCAGTGCCTTTGCAGCGGCTTCGGCGACCTTCGTGGCCTGTTTTTCTGCAAAACTAACTTGCATATTGGAAGCATTCATCACGGTATCGTGCTCTAGAGCACTCAGGACGCCAGAGCCGCCGAAGATGCTTTCCATGAACCGCATTTCGTCGGTTTTATCTTGATTGGCAATATTTTCCTCGCCAGCGTCGTTAGAACTAAATTTCACCGTTAGAGATAAGAAACTACATGTACATGTAGTTGCCAGAAAATACATACAAATTTTCCAGTGCAGCCACTCCTGCAATCTTCCGCAGTTCCGTTGGGTCATCGTCGTTTTCTTCTGGTGCCGCCGCCGTGGTATCTGAAGAGATACCCTCGCCATATATCTTCTCGGCACCCCGGAACATATCCCCCGTCTCAGTCCCAACAGTCGAGTCGCCCAGTTTAAACAAGTCATGCAAGTCATCCGCCTGTATTAGAAATTAGCATACACAATCCACGAAGAAATCATGTACTATATATATGTACGGACTTTAAAAAATCGCCTCTGATTTGGATCAGTAAGAACTTTCAATGCCAGATGCTGTTTGTAAATCTGTCGATGGTATATTTTTTCTTCAATTGTTCCTGCGGTTAATAGCCTGTAAATGGTGACTGACTTTTTCTGCCCAAGCCTCCAAGCCCTCTCTCGCGCTTGCATATCCGTCGAGGGATTCCTTGAATTACATCCCTGATTAGTCAAACAAAACCATTTGTTTTATTCATCAGGACATACCAATCTGGATCAAAAATGATAACTCTATCTGCACCAGTAAGGTTAACCCCCAAACCACCAACTTTTGTGGTTAGTAAGAAGACGTCGATGCTAGTGTCTCTATTGAACTCATCGACAAGTTCCTGTCGATGTTGAATTGCAGTATTGCCGTCCATACGCCGATAATTGAAGTCTGGAAAGCTCCTGACGAAGTGTTCTAGAATATCGAGCATTTGACGTGTTTGTGCAAACAGGAGTGTGCGATGGCCTTGCTGTTTCCAAAGTTGCAGGAGTGATTTTGTAATCTGCATTTTTCCAGAATACGCGCCTTTTCCATACTCATAGTCTTTTGCATGCATAAGTGTAGCCCGATCCACCAGATCTGGGTGGTTACATATCTTTCTCAGTATATCGATTCCGAACAAACTGTTTAGTTTCCCGTCTAAAATTTGCGCACATTGCTTGCTTTCTAGAAACTTTTCGTACTCATCTTTTTGTATTTTTGTCAGTTTACAAAATAGAACAAGTTCACTTTTGCTTGGTAGATCTGCAGCAACATCAACCTTGAGTCTGCGCAGCAGATAGGGACTGATAAGTTCACGCAGAACAACTGCGCATTTATAAGCAGTTTGGACCTGGACATTTGAGGCATTGGCGTAACCGCCCATCTTAATTGGTGTTGCGAACTCGTTCTGGAAAATAGGTAAAGTTCCAAGACGACCTGGGAAAACGAAATCAAAGAGACTCCAAAGCTCGGATAGGTTATTTTGTAGAGGGGTTCCGGAAAGGATTATCC